AGAAGTGCAATTGAAAAGTGGAAACGTATGGATGACAAGTAAACATACCTATGAGTCCACAATATGATGCCTCAGATGTACATAGCTTAAACCCGAAAGATCAAAGTAACCGATTAAAACTATCAGCACATCAGTTCCCATAATTGACACCATTCCCACTTGGAAGACGACAAAGTTGGGTTTAAACTCATGATAAAGCATTCAAAGAAGTCACTTCCGTTAATTGAAGAGCAAAACAATATCACACAATCACTGTAAATGCTACCACTCAATTGAATTCTCCTAATGCAACTTGATTCATGGGTCGTTCTGAATTTTGGAATTTCCATCATCTTGAGTTCTAAATCGAGACAGCACAATGGTGACTCATGATAAAGCGTTCAGACAAATCACAAAGTATGTCTCCTTTTCCATAGAATTGTGGTTGAGTATTGAGTGGCCTATCTTTGGTTTGTATTGTGTTGAGAGATCGCCTTCTTCATAAATTATTGCGACAATCATTATCTTCAGGTAGCGAACAAAACTCTTCGGCAACACATTGTACAACATTCAGACAGAGCTCATACTATAGTTCAGCTCCGGGAGAACCATCCATGAGAAATGCACAAATGTCCTTGAGCTTGAGTTATGAGAATATAAGTGTCATCATGAATCACGGTGAACATTATCAAGTCTGATTGGAACTTGGTGTAGCTAAGTGAAGAGTGATGAGAAAGCTTCCACATCAATCACACAACATAGACATGTCTTCACTTATGTATTATTGTCGATGTGTAGTTGACTTCTCAATTGTGTCGTATAAGACTTCGCTATTTCACGACCCATATCAAGTTTGCGTTTCACAGACAACGAAATACAAATCATTACCAAGAAGTACCATCAAATCGCAGAAAGTGGAAATACCGTGGTATTTATACGATCATTGTGTACGCTTCATCAAGTTGTTGTTCTTGAGAACAAATGGAAATGCCAACTCAAATACGTAGATGTGTTGATATCTAGTTGTTAAAATCTTTAGCCAAAGAGACATGTCTATACTTTATGCATGGGACAGAGTGGTAGTTTGTTACCCAGTTCCTTGGGCGAGAAAGTAATGATGGCGGTCTATATGATCCATTGATAAACGTGCCAAGCTTCAAAGCTCTCATTGGAAGACCGATTCTTGTAAAGTAGTTGAACCCCTTAAAACTCCCATCTCTTCCTCTAGCGCTGTTGTTGTGACTTTCACAGTCACTCAAAGCCTTTCAAATCATTTGGAATAACCTCATGTGATACACAGAAGCATTCCATCCTAAAGCCATCATCTTCCAAAGACTCAATGCTTGAACTGTCAATGGAAAAAGTGCGTCGATATAAGTAAGTCCCCTTTGCTTTGTTGATGTTTTTTCTCAACCCCCGGAAATTTAAGATGTTCGGATGGTCGCAGTCAGCAAATGTGAAACCATAGCAACGCATCAATGACAACTACTTCCCCAACGTTCAATGACAACAGCTTTGACCCATAGAGAGTGGATTTAAAGTACAAGAAGTATAGCTCTTTATCATAGATAATTAGTTATATACCTGTGTGTAGCTTGTAGAATCAGCAGGAGGTGGTCAAGGCTGAATGATTTCAGCTACAAAAGGTCCAATGAGTAACAACAAAGGTCAATTCATACTTCTCAAGACATAACCCAAGCCTAAATCTAACAAGACATACACTTGACGGTACAGAAAGGGTACAGTATATCGTGTGACTCGAAGTAAAGCATTTGGAAAAAAAGAGTGAGCGGGGATCAATTGATTTGGTCATCTCAAAGTTTACAATAAAGTAGCAAGAAGAGATAGCTATATCCAAACATCACAACGAAGTCTTAGACCATCCACTATAGTAGCTCTGCTAATTCGATATCTCTGAATCATACCATGGTGATTATCATGTGTTATTCACTCCAGTTCGGATGAAGAATCTCCGTCTAAAGGTGACATCAAAAAACAATAATGATATGGGCAAAGTAGCAACAATCATAAACCATTCAAGAAATTGAGTCCCAGTAACTCGATGATAAATGTATCAGTTGGTGAGCCATCTCATAAGGTGCCAAGAGACATGGGATTCCTAATAAAGCAAAGCCCATGGATCATATAAAACGATGAATATATCAGATGGTGTCTAGATTGATGATCCGTCAACCTCAGTAGTGTATCTGTGGATTATGAGTAAGACCGGTTAGCCTCTTAGATTGTTGAAGTTTATATGCACTTAGATGAACAACGAAATACACTGTTCACTATGTCTGCTGATAGAAATACATCAATGGCATAGGACATAATCCGGTTGAATCTCCAACAGATGCAATAGAGGAACCAGGCACTTCTTGTGGTTCACTCTCCACATGAGTATACACGTATACTGTTGATTTGATCATCGATAAATTCCATAGGAGTATGTGATGTTGGGTGCACCAATGTAAGGATTTCAAAAGTACCACCATTTGGAAGACAACAGACTTCGAATCAAACTCATGATAACACATTATAACAAGTCACATCGTATAGTTAGCTGTCAACAGGATATCCTGTAGTTGCCGTGTTTTCAAGCTCTCTGTTGAACTGTGTAAGTAGAGCCTGCATCATCAAATGCTTTAGATTTTGTAAATAAACTTCTTCAATTTGAAGTCGAGACAGCACAACGGTGACTCATGATAAAACAATCAGATCAGTTACAAAGCACATGGTTCCATATGATCCGTTTTAAGTACTGTCTTGTTTATCCCTTGGTTTCTGTTGTGTATGGATAAGACCTATTTCCTTGGTCATTGGAATCACCGATATTTCCAAGTTAGACAACAGAGCTCTTTGGAAACACAGTGCAGAACATTCAGACAAGTCTCATAGCATAACTGGCTTCCCAGAAAATGCACCATATGTGGTATACAACCGTAATCTTGTCTGAGATCCGTAAATGCGAGCTGTTTCAAGAATCACTAAGACCATCGCCAGTTTCAATTCGAAATTGATGTAGTTCTATGAGGAGTGGGTATAAAGACACCAAGGCAGTTTCATGATCTAGATATGTCTAGCCCTCATTGACTATTGGTACTGTGTACTTCTCCTTTGATTGATGTCGAGTACTGGTGGACTATTTCATGAGACACCTCACATTTGTGTTTCATTTATACCAAGCAGCAATATAGAGCCACACAATACCATAACGCAATAGAAAACAAGGACGCTTGGATATTGATACAATCTATCAGTATAATTTGTCACGTCATTACTCTTGAAACCATATGGTGATGCCATTTCATATGTGTAGACGTGTCGATTCAGAGCCGTGTGAAGCTTTAGTCCAGGAGATAGAGCCATACATCGTCGTGAGAAACTGAGCTAGCTTTTTGATCTGTGCTTCGAGTCGTAAGTTAACTGGGTGGTTCATGCAATTCACTGATACCAGTATCCCCCTCCAGATCTCTCATTGAAAGACAAAGTCTTGAACGCCAGGTGAAACCATTGAGACTTTCATATATGCCACCTTTAACACTGGTCCTGCGGCTCTCACAGTCACTCAAAGCCTTTCAAGTCATTTGGAGTAGCGTTATGTGATAAGTAACAGTATCCCATTCTAGAGCTACCATCTTCTAACGTTTCCAAGCTTAAACTGTTAAAGGAAGAGTGTTGATATAAGAAAGTCCCCTTCGCTTTGTTGATGTTTTTGTCACCCCTGCTCAATTTTGATGTTCGGATGTTTGGAGTCAGCAAATGTGAAACCACAGCAACGCATAAACGACAACTACTTCCCCAACGTTCAATGACAACAGCTTTGATCCATAGCCAATCGACTTGACGTACAGTTAGTATAGCTCTTTGTCATATACAAATTAGCAAACAACTATGCATTGCATGTGGGATCAGCAAAATGTGGTCATGACTGGATGGCTTCAATTACAAAGACCCAATGAGTATCAACAGCCAATTCGTACTCATTAAGACACAACGTAAATGTTCAACTATGAGGAAGAAGGCACCGATGCTGAGTGAGGAAAAGTGATTAATATTATGGGACTAAAATCAAAACGTTTAACAGGAGAACCAATTGGGCACGAATGGATTTGGCTGAATCAAAGATGAAAAGACGATCATAACAACAAAAAGCACCCGTATACGAGAAGTGCAACGGGACTTGCTGCTGATAATAGTCAACGTCCCACCATTTCGATGTTACTGCATCAATGTATGTCAGTCAAGTAGAGCGATTCCATGAGACATCGGAGATGGTCCACTGTCAAAAAGTGGAATAAGAAACAGGTAGTGTCATTAATAAAACAGCAGCTTCTAGAGACCCCAAACTCTTATTAAGACGTCTGACCAATACACTTTTGTCACAAACTTTATAAGCATGCTATTCAAGACGATGATACTGGGAGATTAGATCAACAGGGCAAATCAGTATACATTTAACTGGACTGTTAGTTATGACAATTTCAATTCGGCTCAAGTTGATGATCAAAGAGATCACTTCTCAATTGAACGACAGAGTGTGAGTGCCTTCTCTGCTAGGATCGTATAATTATTACCAAAGTATGGGCAAAACTCCAGTAATGATTGATACAGATATTTCCATCGATTGATGTTATGATGTCCGGTATGATATATACTTGGTATTGTTCCATATTTGCTCTATCTCAAACAGTTCGAAATTGTCAGTACCAATATTGACGCTTTAGACAATCCTAGCATCAAAGCTTCCGCTAAAGATCTTAAATATCCATGATAAGAATCATCGAGAATTCGATATCAATGGAGATTTTCATTCTGTGGGTCCTGGATTCTTAAATACGAAAGGAGTTCTTGGTCAGTGGTTTTATCAACCATTATCCATAGATTCAAGAAACAATTAACACTAAGTCTTTGTTGGACGACGATTTATTGTCATCAGCGAAACTGTGCCAAGTTAGAAACATTACATGTATTATTATTGACTCAACAACTTTCTCTTATTTTGTATTAATCTTCATCTTTTAAAACAAAATGTACAGTATTCCAAAGAGAAAAGTGGACAAACTAGTTCTTGAAGCACCAGCATTAAGCGCAGTAATGATAGGGGTTGTCAAAGTTGTAGAAGTTGAATCCTGGTAATACGGTCCACTATTTAAAGTTGTTTCGGTTTTCCAGGAAATCAAAGTTGAAGTTTGTATCGAAGTGTGAGTTGAGCTGTCATCCATAAGATTTGAAGATACGCTGACAAACGCAACAGTGGATGTTTGTGACAACCTTTCAATATTTGTACTTCTTTCAAGTGATGAGTGAGATTCAGTAATGACCACTTGGGAAGTCAATTGAGAACTTGATATACGAAGACTGTGACCATTAGTAGTGTCCTCTCCCGTGCTCAACCCAGTCGAAGTTTTGCTTGGTGTATAAACATATGGAGAGCATGAGACAGTTACGGTCGAGGTTAAGACATGGTTTTCAGACTCAATAAGTGTTGTAACAAACGTTGAGAACGAGACGGTTGTAGCAAAATCAGCATCACTCTCGCTCGTACCAGCAAAGATGGTTGTAATGGAAGAGAAGTGTTCCTCCAACGTATATGAGAGATCAAATTCTAGGATGGATCTTCTGAATAAGAAGCGACTATCAGTAAGATATATGGCAATATGAACGTTGGTTGTAAATGGAGATGGCCCGGTTGATTTTCCAGTAATTGAAAGCTTCAAAGCTGAATCAACACTAACTTGTTCTGGATACGATACAGAAAAGTAATTATCATTCAATGCGACAGAGCCTGAGGACACCACACCATCAACCTCAAAATCGGTGGATTGATACACGTAATTGTCTTCTAACTTGGATCCAGTAAATTCAACAGAATTCCACGGTCCTAATGATCCCGGAACCACAACATCCCAATGCGGTTCATCATCAATGAAGTAACCAGTTATATATGGCTCGGTGAACATAGTTTGGCTTCCATCTGAAGTTGATGATAATGGTGTAGTCGTGGATGTTGACTCCAAAAAATCAGTTGTCATTGGGTCCGATCCAGAGCTAGTGATAATCTGTGAAGCTTCAGTTTCAGATATTGAAGGACTGTATGATAAAGTAGAGTCAACTGAGCTGTTACTCCAAGATGTTGGGTAAAATGAAGTGGTTGTTATTTCAGATGATGGAGAGATGAAAGATTGGGTGGACAAGTGTGTAATGGTGGAGTAAAACGATGACCTGCTGCTTGATGACGGTGAAGCATGAGAAGTGGAAGGTAGGTCCCTTGATGATGACGAAATTGAAGAACTTGGATTCCCACCATTAGAAAAGGATGTGGAAGTGGAAGCATTAGTAGATGTTTCACTGGATGATTTAGTGGATGTTTCTTCAGAAGACTCCTTAGACGTTTCTTCAGATGTTTCTTCAGATGACGCCTCAGACGTTTCTTCGGATGACTCTCCAGACGACTCTTGAGAAGACACTCCAGACGACTCTTGAGAAGACTCTTCAGACGTTTCTTCAGACGTTTCTTCAGACATTTCTTCAGATGTTTCTTCAGACGTTTCTTCAGACGTTTCTTCAGAAGACTCTTCAGACGTTTCTTCAGATGACGCCTCAGACGTTTCTTCGGATGACTCCTCAGACGTTTCTTCAGACGTTTCTTCAGACGTTTCTTCAGAAGACTCCTCAGACGGATCTTCAGATGTTTCTTCAGACGTTTCTTCAGACGTTTCTTCAGACGTTTCTTCAGATGTTTCTTCAGACGTTTCTTCAGAAGACTCCTCAGATGTTTCTTCAGATGTTTCTTCAGATGTTTCTTCAGAAGACCCTGTATCATCATTAGGGAACGGTGAAACGGAAGCTGGACAAGATCGACAACTATCTGGAACTGACTGGTCTGGGACAGCACCCGAGTAAGTTATGTGGCTCACCATTAATTGTGAAGATACAGTGACTGAGGTTGTATCAATGACGAATAGACTTACATCATATCCAGTACCAATGATTAAGTTGTATGTGTAACCACCTGATTTAACTGAAAGGGTATCACCAGTGTATTGAAGACTTTCTGTGAAAGTAGTGAAACCGATAATATTTCCCATACCGAACCCGGAAACAGGAAGGTCATTTGTCATTGCCGAAGAACCAATAAGAAGAATAGAGGTATCCGTGGACAGATAGATCGTCTGTCCAATGGAGAGTGGGAAAGATGTTGGATTTGAGTAATAGAAAACAGATTCTTCACCAATGTCATAGCATCCAGTACCCGAAACAATTGATTGTTGGATCATGTACATGAGCGATAGACATATTGTACCGTCATTTGTCACATCAAGTCCGATATCACCAAAGTTAGAGGATCCAGCTCCACGGGTATCGGTTTGATAAAGAGCTAAGACACCACGATTAATTGTTGATCCCACTGTCTCGATTTTAGCCTTCATTCCTGTGCCTGAACCCAGACCACTCATCATGAAGATGCCGTTATTGATAAAATCGAAAGCACTTCCAAGGTAAAAGTATGGACTTGATGTCTCATTCTCAGCGTTTAGAACAATGAGACCAGAATTAATAAGATTATTTGAAAATCTCACGGACATTCCAGAATTATCAACACTTGTGTCACCAATATAAAGTTCACCTTGAACTTCCACACTATTCATAAACCGATTTTGATTTCCTCCACTATTGTCATAGACAAGCGAAGCACCAGCCTGGACCAAAAGAGGCGTGGCCTTTGGGAAATAAGCTGACCCTGTAACAGTTGTATCTTCAGAAACTGTGGTAGTTTGTGCTAAAACTTTATGTAAAAGTACCAATAATAGCAATTGGAGATACATATTGATTGCTCTTGGTTGTTTATTTGAGCCATAGAAGACTCTGAAATTAAACAAAGACCTTGACGACTTTATAAATATGAAGACACAATTTCTTATGAAGAGCTTATATGTACGTAGTGTATCTTATATTGACGCCTCATGCATCCTTGAGACTCTCATACCAAACCGCCTTACTTTGACACGGGCCGTGGTACTAATTCAAGTGAAGCTGTATATGACACTAAAACTTTAGTCAAGGTGACCGGGCTCTATATAAAACTAGGTGTTAGCTGTCGAATGAGTTGATTTGTGACTCCACAGATTCTGTCTTTTCAAGAGCACATAAATTACACACAACTATCATCAATTACCCAGGATGAATTTCCCAAACAAGATCACTGGAGTGGCTTACCTAATACAGTTTTAGATCTGCAGTAGCAATCTTAAGCTCAGCGCAGAACCTTGCATCACCATCACTCGACAGCTCGAAAAGACTGCAGTCTTTTCACCGGAACAGATTTCTATAGGCTTCATTGGGAAGATGTACTGCATGCATTATCTCTTCTTGATATTTTTCAACTCAAACTTATACTTTATGCAACCTCAAATTGACAAAGTCAAACCCAATGGCATGATAATGCATTTGCAGTATGATGTTCAGTCGAACCTTAAACGCCAGAGTAATCCCCTGACAAGAGATAGACCACGATATCATCAGTAGAAAATCACTCACAAATGAATCTACTCAGGTAAGCTTCTCTTTGGTAGACGAGATGATATTTTATTGATCTCATGGACATTAGTCGGACATAGCTGAAAGCAAATGAATCATCAAAAGATAAGACAGTAGAGAAAATGAAAGATGTAGTGTTAATCGAATTGATTCAAGGGGCAATATGTTACAATGCTGTGTTTTGTCGTACACACCGTCATAAATTCTAATTAACCAACTAGGACATGGAGATCGGCTCGAATTATGCGCTCGAGAGTTAATTTTTTGGAAATACTGAACATCAGCTGTTTTAACTACGTGAGCCACTCTCACCGAGTACATAAAAGAAAATGTACATCTTGCAGATAAGTACGGCCCTCCTAAAAGCTGTCTGTGATTCGTAACCTTTAAGTTAACATAGTATTTTGACATGAATCATTTGCGATGACTATCAGCTTCCGAGCAAAAGCAGCAAATCAAAAGATCAATCTTGAAGAGGTTAGTTAATGATGTTGATTTCATCCAACCACAACCCTCCTCATTAAAATTTTGGCTTGTCGATACTTTTTGTTCTTGAGTGAAGCTGTTGATATCATTTCACGTTCAAGAAACGCTGTATTTAGAGATCCTATGGCTGAGTTTTTCTTTTTCTTTCGAAACAAGGAGTCCAATACTCTCAGTTGCTCTGTTAGTACATCGTTGATTTCTTTAAGCGATCGTTTTAACAGCGCTTAAGATCCAAATCAGATGAACCGCGGCATTGTAGATCAGGGGTGGAAACTACTTAAATCAAGAGCTCCTATTGGAGGAAAGCCAAACCATTTTTGACGAGGAAGCAACACGGTGCAACAGGCAACCACGAGAGAAGAAGCCACGGGGGAAGAATACAATTCGCATCAACCCGTCTTTTGTCCTTGTGTATGTTGTATGTGCCTGGATACATTTTCTGACAGTGTAATATGCGGTATACATGTTATTGGCTTGCAGATTGCATGGTGAACATTGAAGAGTTGATTTTTTAATCCCGAGTACCATACCACTCAACCGTTAGTTTATAGTATGCTTGAATTAATAGCTACCAGCAAGAAGAAGACGACATAAGATAAATGTATACCTCAACACTAAAAGCCTCAAACTGTTATTTTTAATGGGCTTCAATCTATAAAAGTTCCTACTAGCTTCTTCTCCCTATCGACTCATGCGTTGTCCTTCTAGGATGAGTTAATGCATCCTAGAAGAAATGGTATCGGCAGCATACTTAAAAGGGTGTCTGGATGTCTGTCACTTAAGGTAATCACAGGATCAAATTCAGGATCTTCAGCCCTACTTTTCACTGTCACCCAATAGAGTCTAAAATTTCTGGATAACACTCAGAGAGTATAGTTGAAATTACTAGTGTATGATGATAGGGTCCTGTACAAAGTAAAGGAAAACGAGAGTCACATACAATTCGGATCCATGGAATCATCACCGAATCCCTAGCTGCCTTCAGAATTATTAAAGCCACAGATTGCCGGCTCAATGTTAATACGCCACAATTCCCATAAATGTCATTGGAGCATGTCAAGCCTCTATGCCCTTTGATTAATACGCCACAATTAACCCAACGGTGCAAATTTCTATTTTAAAGCTGATAATGGTTGGAAAGTTAATATACACCTCTACTAGTTCATATCACTTCGACCCATGTCATGTCTCCATCAAAGGATTACACAGCTACTGAATCAGTCTTCCTCTTAGCGAGCGAAGATGTTGAAGACTTCAACGCTAGAGGGCCTCCAACTGAACAAGATGGCCTACTTGACTCACAGGATGTCTCTGAGGATTCTGATGGAGAAGAGGATACACCTATCTTGAAGATTCCTCACATTGTGCCAATTGAATTTTCATTGTTGACAAACGTCTTCCTAGCTTCTTTTGATATGACTGTGGCTGCATCCACATATACCACCATTGGTTCAGAGTTTAACGCAGTGAACTTGAGCTCTTGGATAACAACTTCTTACATGATTACTTCTACGTCATTCCAACCTCTGTATGGCGCATTTTCAGATGTCTTGGGGAGACGTCTATGCTACTTCTTCGCCACACTTACTTTTAGTCTGGGTTGCCTTGGATGCGCCTTTGCACCAAGTATTGTGACCTTGTTCTTTGCAAGAGCATTTACAGGGATTGGCGGTGGTGGATTGATCACTTTGGCAACTGTTGTCAACTCTGATATAATCCCAGCCCCCAAGAGAGGTTTGTTCCAAGGATTCCAAAATATTTTACTGGGTGTTGGTAGTATATTGGGAGCATCGTTAGGTGGTATTATCTCAGAAACAATTGGTTGGAGATACTGTTTCCTATTCCAGGTACCAGTGAGTACGCTTGGCCTAATATTTGGTTATTTTTACTTAAAGAACCAAAAGGAACTAAAGGAAGATTCTACAATTGGAGATATAGATATTCAAGGATCGCTATTGTTGGTGACTGGGCTGACATTGCAACTGTTGGCTCTGTATTCAAGCAGCACAAATGCGTTGTACCTCGGAGCAGCGTCGCTGTTCCTTTTGCTCATCTTTGTCAGAGTGGAACTCAACACCAGAAGAACACCTATAGTTCCATTTGCAAGAATCCACAATGTATCAAGTTATCTAACACTTTTAGTGGCTACTTTGTCAGGATTTGCAAACTTTGCATATATATTCGTGCTTCCTCTTTTGTTCCAAGTGAGTCTTGGAGATTCACCATCCAAAGCTGGGTTCAGATTGGCAATACCTTCTTTATTTACCAGTGTGGGGGCTTTGATAACGGCATATATCATGAATATAAATGTGAAATACCTTAATGTTCTGGTCCTTTCCGGAGTTTCTTTGATGTTTGTCGGTAATTCATTGGCTCTTCTTATTTCAAGATCCTTTCCACAGGGATTACTTAACTTACTACTGATACCTGCAAACACTGGTTTGGGTATGTGCTTTCCTGCATCTCTGTTCACATTTGTGTTTTCCTTTTCCAAATCAATGCAAGCAAGCTCTACTTCAACACTATACCTTTTCAGGGCTGTGGGACAAGTGTGGGGTGTCGCTACTGTCTCAAAAATTGTGCAGAGCATACTTGAAAGGAATTTACGCAATGATCCAAAGGTTGGAAATTCAATAATACCAAAAATATTGAAGTCGATCACATATATCAAGAAGTTAGATCCTGATATCCAATCAGAAGTGATTTTGAGCTATGAAGGTGCTATCAGATTTGCACAAAAGGTATCTGTGTTGGTTTGCTTTTTGAACGTTTTGTTCTGTTTGACCGAAGTTGTTGTCAATAAAAGATCACAAGCTAACAGGAAGTAATGAAGATGTGTGTATTTTAGAATCGGTAATGGATATCCTTTCGAACTAACTGTAAGAATGCATTCGTCACACTGTAAATAGAACAATTTTGGATGTAAAATAGACTATAATGGCATAAGCCACACAGGACAAAAAGAAAACACCGTCTTGCACTACTATTGATTGTCTCCCATGGGAGGTCATATCTACTGTGTTTGTCATCCCTTTGAATGAAATGTGGAATATTACAACATACAAATCTGGTTGTAGATCAACATGATTATTCTGTTAGTGACAACAATTATTGCGATAGATGCACCAAAAAACCACACAATATAGTGACAAACCTTCTGTTCAGGATCTATATATTGCACTCTGCCGTTTCAAGTTGATCTTTAAAGTGGCTGATACGTATAACACTTCGGGTAGGTGGGGTTCTTGCCTTTATTTTACCGTCCGGGCGCCACAGAGCTATCTGAGAAACTAAAGAGTCGTGGCGCATTCACCTATATGACGATTCTACTGTATGTTCACAGTAACCCAATGGCTAGATAAGTATATAAAACCTATGACACCCAAATATACAATGTCCTTTCTTTGGTGTATCATTGTTGTCGACAAACTGTAATGTCAGAGAAAGAGGCTACAGAAGCTAATGAAATCCAATCATCGCTCACAGATCAAAACGTTGATGGAAAGAGTTATAAGATTTTATTACCTGATGGAACAGATGTCAACGTAATCAAAAACTGGACTCAAATGGAAGAGGCCAGAGCCAGGATGAAAGTTGATCTGACGCTTTTACCTCTGCTTATTGCCGGTTTCTTTGTTTTGCAACTGGACCGTGGTAATCTGTCCAATGCTTTAACTTCTACGCTTAGAGAAGATGTTGGGCTGTCAAGTTACCAAATCAACGTTGGACAGCAGTTGTTATCATTGGGTATAGTTATCGGAGAAATTCCGAGCAACTATGTATTACAAAAGATTGGCCCAGCTCTATGGTTGCCATTCCAAATCCTGGTTTGGGGTGCTATAGCACTCGCTCAAGGATGGATTAGAAACTATGGAGGCTATATTGCAACGAGATTCTTGTTGGGGATTGGGGAGTCCGGTTTCATTCCGGGTGGCTTATACACTCTGTCCAAGTTTTATACTGCTAAAGAACTTGGTCGTCGTCATACCATTTACTTTGTGGGTAACTTGCTGGCTAGTGCACTCAGTGGTCTTATTGCTGCAGGTATTCTTCAAGACTTGACGGGAGTGAACGGATGGAGTGGTTGGAGATGGCTTTTCTTCATCGAAGGTGTCTGTACCTTGTTTGTTGGCATTGTGTACCTTTTCCTTTTACCAAAATCTACACAGGACACATCGACTCTTTTATTTCCAAAATGGCAAATGTTTAATGAAAGAGAACGTTATATTTTGACACAGAGACTTTTACTAGACGATCCACTGAAAGCCCTTGACCTTAAGAGGAGTGTAAAATGGAAAGATATTGGCAAAGCAGTGACTCAATGGAGAGTATGGCTGCACTTCCTTCTTACACTCACCGCCTTGTCCACCGCAGGTCCAATCAACACATACTTGCCAACCATTGTGAGACAAATGGGCTATACACAGTTTCAGGCAAATGCAATGTCCACAATCGGTACATGGATCTCACTGGTATATCTGTTGATAATTGGTCAAATTCAAGATCGTTACAAGCCTAGAGCTGCAACCATTATAGTGATATCCGGCTTACAAGCGGTGTTCACTATTGTGTTGAGATGTGTGACAACAACAGCAGGGAACACCACAAGACTGGCTATCTTGATCATGGTTCAAAGTTTCATCTCCTTGCCTCACATTGGTAATACCAGCTGGGTGAGTGTCAATTCCAGATTGCCAACAGATAGAGCTGTTCACCTTGCCTTGGTTGTGATGGCTGCTAACTGTGGTGGCATTTACAGTTCCCAGATCCTGAACAGCGACGATGGGCCTTACTTTACCTCTGCCTTCACTGCACTTGCTGTTATAACCTGTGTCTGTTTCTTGGTTTCAGTAATCACTTACTTACAGTACATTTACACCAACAAGGAGTTGACTAAAAAGTATGGAGAAGTTCAGGTTAAAGAATCATTTGACATCAAGAAAAACATCGATGGAGAAGGCTTTATTGTCTTGGATTGTTCAGAGCAGGAATATTCAAACCATACAGACAGGTATAAAACATTCAGGTTTACACCTTAGTATTTATTAAATTATCTTATCTATGCCTTTTTTTGTTTACATGTAGACTCTTTTGATCTTGTATTCCCAAGTCTTGTCAAATACTTGATCATCATTCTCAAAGGCTTTCAAGTTGTGAAACAAGTGGAAGTTCTCAGCGTCAGATGTCAACGTTGTACGGGACTTCATCTTGATATTCCAGTTGTCTTCTTCTCTTCCCATTTCATAGGTCCATAAGTTTTCATTGAATGCACTGAGAGGATCATCTGCTTTGATTTTGAACCAATTTTTGTTCCAACTTCCGTGGTAGATACCGGTCAATTCACCGTAGTCCGTCATTTTCACACATCCTGAGTCTTGTACATCGACTAGAGTCCATTCATCAGTGGAGTAATCATAAGTTGTATTCTTGACACGATCATATGGTTTAACGGTCACGCTTGGAACTCCCTTCACAATAGTTGGCTTTCCAAATTCCGGAGGAGGGACTTGATCACTTTCGTTCAACAATGGCAAGACAAGCTCTCCCTTTGAGATTGTGATTGTAGTGAGCTCAGGAGTTGGCCAGTTTTGAGGCCAGTCACAAGTGGTTATAGCCACTCTTAACTTGTGGCCTTTTTCAATTTTCACACCAAGAACATCCAGTTTGATTTGAGCATCATACTCTTTACCAGGTTCGAGCCATTGTGGATGTTCATGTGATTCTCTATGTGTCAAGTTCAATTGTCCCCAGGAAATGAGAACGTGCTCACCGTTTTCAGGATAAACATCTTCCAATTTGACGGAGACATTGGCAAACTTCTTGTCACAGCTCAGACGTAGGTTCATCACTGGTTCTCCCAAGAGGGTAAGATCCTCATCAAATACAGGAGAGTCCCAAGTTGCAGTTTTGGAATCCTCTAAACGTTGGTCTGCAGGGAAGTCACCAATAAAGCCAAATGGACAGAAGGTACCTCTAAACAGACCATGGGACAACACACCGGAAACTTCTGGGAATTTCTCTAACGAATGTTCCTCAGAAACAAGCGCATCTCCTTCAGAGAGAAAAAACGACTTGGTGGAGGACGTTGCAGCGTTTGTCAAAGAGACCCACTCACCATCTCTAAAAGTGTAAGATCCAGCAATCTTTGAAGGTGACTGGACATATGCAGTGAGTTTCGGCAAAGAGAGTGTATTCTTCTCTTCAGGATGAAGATACTTTTTGAACCATCTTAGTGCGAGCTGTTGGAACCCAATCTTTGGACCTGGCTCGGCCATTTCTGGGAATTCATGGACCCATGGACCAATTAGACCACAAGTCTCGGTGTTTGGCAAGTTCTCCACCATTCTAAAGACCGGGGAAGTGTACCCGTCACGCCATCCACCAACAGCAAGAACAGGAATTTGGACAGAGTTGTAGTCCTCATTGATTGAGCCATGTTTCCAGTACGAGTCTCTGGTTTGATGCTCCAACCAGTTCTTCATCATTGGCTCTGCATCAAGACGTTGCATCCAGTTTTCTCTCCATTTCTCACCAACAACTCTTGGATCTTGGGGCCTTGGCGCATACACTCCCATTGTTGAACCCCACCAGATCATGTCAGACGCCAGAAGACATCCACCTCTATAGTGGACATCGTCTGTATAACGATCGTCAGTTGACATGAGTGTAATGATGGTTTTCAACGCGGGATGCTGTCTAGCTGCAACCTGTAAACCATTGAACCCAGCCCATGATTTACCAAACATTGCAATGTTACCGTTGGACCACTGCTGAGAAACAATCCAGTCAAACGCAGCGAGCGCATCATCCTGTTCTTGTTTGATGTACTCATCTTCCAAGACACCATCTGAGGCTGAAGCGCCTCTCATATCGATTCTCATAGCAGCCAGCCCGTTACCGGCAAACCAAGGGTGTCTGACTGAATCTCTCTGAATGGTGACATCGGTTCTGTAAGGGATATACTCAATGACGGTGCCCACCTTGAACTCATTCTCCTTGTAAGCCTTCTCTGGGATCCACATGTGGGCCTGCAACTTGGCCCCCTCTGGCATCGGAATCATAATGTCCTGGATCTTCATCACTTCGTACGGTAGCACATCGTGATCAAGAACCGCCGTGGCAGCCTTCTTGTTTGTGTTTCTCACGTTGAAAGCCATCTCCAAGGAAGTTTGATATCAAAATGAGTATTTCCAGCTGGTGGAGGGAGGCGGAAGCAGGGATGGCTTCGCTCATTCTTTATACACTGGGGAATGTGGTCCTTGGACCCGAGCTTTCGTCCAGTCGATGTGGTCAGCTCCGATGCCAGTTGGCCAAAGGGTTTGGAGCTGCGGACCATAACGTTTTTGGGAAAGCGTCGGGCATGAAATGCGTCCAAAACAGGCTCTGCACAACAGCAAACGGTAACTTCAAGCGGCTGATAAATGGCCAGGGCCAGCACGGTGGGCACCATTGGGGCGTTGCGGATTCGCTTTCCGAAAACGGTAATTTTTTTCTCAACACGGAATTTTCAACTGAGCAATGGTGCTGTTTGGCGACGCCTTGTGTGCTTCAACTTTGGTATCATAACAGCTGGAGACTAAAGGAGGTTTACGTAAGGTATACGTCGTAATTTGTGACACATTTCTGTGATTTACAGTCGCCCTTTTAGCGTGCTTCCCATCATCCAACCATCTACGCTGTCATGTTTAGTGCCGTATACAACATGCTCTTTTGAATGTCCAACGTTTTCTCACGTTGTCATACGGTTGAATTACAAAAAAACAAGAGAAAAATACGGTGGTCTATGCGCGATGCCGTCATACCGATGTTTTGTATGTGCCCACCTGAATTTTGTACCCTGTGTTAATCAAATTTGTACCTCGACCGTTTAATACTGGCATCATATGGACGGTGATCACTCTCCGACGAACCATTCTCGCTTGTCGATTCCACATCAACGTTGGTAGGCGGTGACTGAGATCCGTCTTGTGACTCAGCGGATTATCGGGGTTGATTGTTTATCTGCGGGATGATAAGATCCAAATCTCCGACGCATTTGGGTGGGATTTCGTACTGTTCCAGGACCATAATGGCAAACTACAGAAATGCGCTCAGAATGGAAAGAGCACCCACTTCTGCGTCAGCTTCTAAATGGTCAGTGCTAACCGATGCTTCACATCTTTCAAGAGCTGATATGCAAGGTGGTACACGGGCGTTTAGGTTTGGTTGCACGTACACAGGTGGGAAATGACCCAGTACCATGCGACGAACGCATGCACGAAAACGGAGCCTTCATATATGTCCCCAACAAGCAAAGAGAAGTGATATGGCCAATGTGCCAAAGGAGTATAAAAGGATCATCGAAGTACCATTATGTATTTTGTGAATCAAAGAAACCAGGTGATACTGTACTGAACATCCTCTTATACTACAAATAAGATGGCTGATAGCGTGGAATTAGAGAAGAAAATTCTTCCCCAAGTGTCAGACACAAGTCTGGATCTTGAGAACGGTAACGAATCGTTCCAGGACGATAACATTGCTTTTGAGAAAGACTCAGTTCTTGCAAAGAAAATCCACTTGCTTAACGATGCCATTGATGAGATGGGGTTCACTTGGCACAACGCTAAGCTTTTCCTCATTGCTGGTTTTGGTTACTCCATTGACTCCCAGATGGAAATGGTTCAAAGTGCCGTGAAAGTTTACGTCGATTACCAAATGTTGGGAACTGGGTTCCCAATCTCGAATGAAATCTTCTATGCTGGTCTTATTGTGGGTTCCATCGTGTTTGGTATGGGCTGTGATTTGATTGGAAGAAAGCTGGTGTTCAACTCATCCATTCTGCTCACGTCTATTTTCGGTTTCTTTACAGGTGGTACAGATAACTACGCAATGTACTGTATCTTTATGTTCTTATCCTCAGCAGCAGCTGGTGGTAACATCGCCACTGATGTCTCTGTGTTCCTGGAGTATCTTCCTTCTAAGTATCAATGGATGAACACAACTATGGCGCTGTTTTGGGGTGTTGGTCAAACCATCGCAGCTTTGATTTCATGGGCGTTTATCCCAAATAACTCCTGTGATGGTCCAGACTATTGTCCTTCCCATATTAACAGAGGTTGGAGATACTGTTGGTTTGTGAATTCTGGTATCTGTTTCGCTGCAGCTTTGATTCGTCTCTTTGTTTTAAAAATGGATGAAACTCCAAAGTTCTTGGTCTCTACTGGAAGAGATGCTGAGGCATTCGCAATTCTTCAAAAGATATCCCAACAGTACAACAGACCATTATCCCTAACCCTTGAGCAGTTGGAAGCATGTGGTACTATCAAGCAGGATTACTTTGACCCTTCACAGCACGGATATAGCATCAAGGCTCTTTGGAGAGCAATGCACACCAACTTGAAGATTCTTTTCCACTCTAGAATTACCACTAGATCAACAATTTTGGTGATTCTTTCCTGGGGTTTCATTGGTATTGCATACTCGACCTTCTATAACTTCCTTTACATTTTTATTGCTTCTCATGGTGGTGACACGGGAAGTTCTACCTATATCGTTTACAGAAATGCCCTCCTGGCAAACTTTGTTGGTATATTTGGACCAATCCTGGCTGGTTTTATGATTCTCATCAAGTTCAAAATGTTCAACAAGGAGATCTTATTCGGGAGAAGAGGAACAATGATCTTTGGTGCATTGGCCTCCATGGCAATCCTCTTTGGATACACCACCGTCAGAACTCCATCTGCAGATGCTGGTTTCGGTGCTGCAACATACTTCTTTGTCAACATTTATTACGGTACTTTGTACGCCTACACACCAGAAATCTTCCCAACAAAGGCAAGAGGTACAGGTGTCGGTGTGTGTTTGGTTGTTGGAAGAATCTTCGGTGCGTTTGCTCCAGTGGTTTACTACTTTGGTGCTGAATCTGGTTCTGCAGTTCCAATATGGGTCTGTGGTGCCCTCATTGGATGTTTGTCCATCTTGTCTGCTTTGATGCCATTCGAGCCTTCTTTGAAGAGAACTGTTTAGTCGTTTTACGTATTGATTACATCTGATATTCTATATTTAATAACATATGTTGATTGTTTTAAAATCTATGTAGCAAGACATGCGTTTCTGTATGCTTCTGGACATGGAAACACCTAATTTTGTTCAGAGCGGATCAACTTTCGCGTAGTTTTGGAATCCATCTGACGGGTTATTTTACGAGTGGGTCCAGATACCGTGGACTAGAGCTCGTATGATTAACAGATGAATTGTGTCAAGCCACAACCGACGTTATCTGTAAGAGATGAAAGACGAACATTGTCTTTTACATTGTGAATATATGCGAAGAGCCATAATTGTCGAGGTCACATGGTATTAACCAATAACGCAATGTACATTTCAAAACGGATAGAGATGTTTCTTGTAGCATGATAATTCCGGCAGCTTGGACTGCCCTTGGAGTCCGGGATCTATTGAAAGCTGTCATGTCTCTATAACAACTACTCACGCGGAAGTTTGGAATATGATTTACATTGTGGCACGGGACCCCCCTGTGGCAAAGCTCATCGGGTTTAACAACTGTGGCTGAATATTCTCACAGTTGGTTGACATGTTGCCAATAGGACAGAACAGGCACTGTTGTGTAGTTCCAAATGGTATAAAATGCGCTACAGATCCAACAGTTAAACAACTACATCCATGAATATAATTCACTTAGTCAGGAAATGTTGTTACCTTTGTCTATCCTACTGGCACCAGTACTAGCTGATACTCTCTTCAAGTCCCGCCCGGATTTAACCATCCCAGTATGGAACATCTCCTCAAACTACAAGGACCAATTCGAAAACGTCTATGATGGTTATGTCTTCGTGACCCCATATTCGGCAGATACTCCAAAGATTGAGGAATCCGTGGAACAACCAGGTGCCTACATTTACACCCCATCTGGTGAACTCGTGTGGTCCAGTTTCTCATATTTTGGTGGTGTTTCTCTTAATTTCCAAGCTGCTAGGATTGGAGGTGAAGACGTCCTGTACGGTTGGGAAGGACAGTTCAGTGCACGAGGTGGTCATGGGTTTGGTCACATCAAGATTTTGAACAACCATTACGAGCCAGTGAGAGAGATCAAAGGTGGTGATCATAAGCTCATTGATATCCACGAATTCCATCTTGCAGAAAATGGCAAAACTGGTTTGATTGAGAGTTATAGCCCTGTCCAATATGACTTGTCGGACTTTGATGAAGATGGGAATTCCAAGAGATCATGGATCGTCAATGCTGTTGTCCAAGAACTCGACATTGAAACCAATGAACTGATCTTCGAGTGGAAATCTTTGGATCATGTTTCTCCAGATCATTCAGTCTTGAATTTGACAAGCGAACTCGCAGGTGATGGTTACACTTCTGGTTCTGCCTGGGATTATTTCCACATCAACTCTGTGGATAAAAACGCTGACGGTGACTATCTTGTGAGCTCGAGACATACATCTACCATCTACAAAATCAGCGGTGAAACTGGTGAGATCCTGTGGAGACTCTCCACAAGTGGTGACTCTGACTTGAAAATTGTCGGGAAAAAGTTCACACTGGGTTACCAGCATCATGCCAGATTCATCAAGAGAGTTGATGACGATGTTGAAATCTTTTCGTTCTTTGACAATAACGCATACAGCAAGGGTCACTCCGAGCCTGAATCCGCAAACCCAGACCAACTTTCCAGTGGTAAGATCCTCAAAGTGAACAACAAGGAGAAGACTGTTGAGTTGTTGCAACAGTTTGACCCTCCAAAAGATCATCCAATCTCTGCAAAGTCTCAAGGTTCTTTCCAATTCCTTCCAAACGGCAACAAATTCATTAACTGGGGTTCTGCGGGGACGATAACCGAGTATAACTCCGAAGGAGAAGTGCTGTTCAGTGCCAAATTGGATTCATTTGAGAGGGGCCCATACGTTCAAAGCTACAGAGCTTTCAAGTACCAATGGACCGGCTATTCCACAGAGGACATTGCTATTGTTCAAGAGGATGACACTGTATACATTAGTTGGAATGGTGACACGATCACAGAGACCTGGGAACTGGTTGATCCGGAGACCAAGAGAGTAATTGCAACCAGCGCGAAGACAGGCTTTGAAACCAGCCTGAAGCTGAACCACCACCAAGGTGGATTTATCGTCAGAGCTCTAGACAAGAACGGTGGTGTCTACAAGGAATCAAACTATGGTGTTTCTGAAAAGTCGTCTAGCATTCTCAACTGGCTGGCTTGGAAGCAGCTATTCTTGAGTGCGTCTCAGCTGTTCTAACTAGCTGGAGTGATCATTCCAGCGTACATTGCTCGTATATTATCTTCAACAAATGGCTTCTATTAACCAATAGACAACACCACGTAGCAAATTCACACCCATGCAGCTGCTATGCAATGCTTATTTGTCATACCTTTTCAACGTTGTTGTTTGGCCCAAGACTTTAGACATGAGCTTAATTCTAGAGCAAAAAAAAAAAAAGAGTAATTTGATTGTCTTGGCTTTCATAAGTTCATAATGTTATAACATATTGAAGCCGTTTATATGGTCATTTAATTCAACCTGGAATCGGGTGTACATATAACTGAACTTAAACAAGCCTCCATATCTGCTAATTATGGAGTAGAAAGACTCTTGGCTTCTGCGGTGTGGTGGATCGCATGGAAATCTATCAGATTTTGATGAGGTCTTGGAATTTTATGATCAATGATTGGTCAAACCTTCCATGCGAATAATAAGATGTTCGGCATATAATGTCAATCTAGAGGATCTTTCCATCGTCTTCATATTCCTTTCACACCCTTTTTTTTGCATGAACGTTGTTATATAAACGTTGTGTAATCCATCAAATCTTGAACCACTGTTGAGAGAATGGGACCAGTTCAGCACCAGACATGGATACGACAGTTAAACTTGATCCACTAGTGGAGAGTAAACTCACCACAACCAATGAGAGCGACTCAGCCCAAGATGAAGAGAAAAACGACTATGCCGATAACCAAAGCATTGTTTTAAAAAAGGCCGAGCTTCAAGCGGCCCAGTACGCAGGTTCAATCTACCTCACATCGATTTTGCTCTTCTCTTCATTTGTATTTGGGTTTGGTTATAACTTGGATGGTCGTATCCGTAGTGTTTACACTGCCTACGCTTCGTCGTCTTATGGAAACCATTCGTTAATTTCAACGATTGGTGTTATTAACGCAGTCATCACTGCGGCATCGCAGATATTCTACGCTAGATTATCTGACATGTTTGGCCGTTTGTCGTTGTTCATCACTGGGATGGTCTTCTATATTGCCGGTACCGTCATACAATCACAGGCCTATGACATTCAAAGATACTGTGCAGGTGCAGTATTCTACAATCTCGGGTTCATGGGTATAACCTTGATGATGTCTATCATCTTAGCTGACTTGTCAACTCTAAGATGGAGATTACTCTACGAATGCACACCACGTACCACCGTTATAATCATAACGTGGATAGCTGGTGACATAACGTCAAAAATTGGGCCATTGACAAACTGGTCATGGGGTATCGGAATGTGGGCTTTCATCATGCCATTAAGTGCCTTGCCATTTGTGTGTTGCATCTTACACATGAAGTGGTTAGCTTCAAAGACGCCAGAGTGGGAACAGCTTTCCAAGAGAAAGTCATATTACCAGAAAAATGGGATTGTCAAGACTTCGATGGAAGCGTTCTGGAGACTGGATGCTATTGGTCTCCTGTTGTTAACTGTCACGTTGGGTTGTATTCTTGTTCCACTGACTTTAGCAGGTGGTGTTGCAGACGAATGGAAATCGGGTAAGATCATTGGTCCCCTAGTGCTGGGATGGGTGTTACTCCCAGTGTTCATCTTGTATGAGGCCAAACTGGCAAGATATCCACTAGCTCCTTTCAAACTACTCAGAGATCGTGGTATTTGGTCTGCATTGGTCTTGTCGTTCCTGATCAACTTTGTCTTCTATATGGTATTTGATTATGCCTATACTGTTCTCGTTGTTGCCATTAACCAAACAGTTAAGTCTGCAACAAGAATTGTCATTCTTCATGCCTTTGTATCCAACATTGGTGCTCCCATATTTGCTGTTGTTGTTGCATACGTGAGGAAACTGAAGGGATTCCTCATTTTGGGATTTGCCATTTGGATGGTTGCCTGTGGTCTTTTCTACAACTACAGAGGTGGTGAGTACTCCAGGGACGGTATCATTGCAGCATTCTGTATATGGGGTCTTGGAACAGTGTTTTTCAGCTTACCTTTGATTGTGGCTCTCCAGGCTGCCACGTCCCATAAGAATTTGGCCATAGTTGCTGCTTTGGCATCTACTATGAACAGTATTGGATCAGCTGTTGGTAACTCTGTCTCAGGTGCAATTTGGACCCAACTTCTTCCTTCAAAACTTGAAAGTCTGTTGGGTAATGCTACGTTGGCACAAGCTGCATATTCAAGTCCATTTACCTTTATCAAGACTTATACATGGGGCACACCAGAAAGAGAGGCTGTTGTTCAATCGTACAGGTACATCCAAAGATTGGAGACTATTGTGGCCTTGTGTTTCTGTTCTTTGCTTGTCGTCTTTGCCCTGTTCTTGAGAGACCCAGTTCTGCCAGATAAAGTTGCTCAGGATGAACAGCTTAAAGAAGGCGAAATGGTCGTTACTAACGACCATGATCCAATTGCAAACTTCTTTAGAGGCATCTTCAAGAGAGATAACCACCACCACCAGGATTCCTCACTAGAGAAACCTCTGGAGAAATAGTTGTGAGATTAATTGTATGTATATAATGTTCAGAATAGTTTGTGTATGTGTGTCCGGGTGTAGCGAACAGGCGTAGAATTCTTCTAACGCGAGACTCTCTATCACCAAAATTAGTACCAAAACTATTATTCATTGATGATACGATCGGATAGCGTCCAAATGACATCTAACGAACATATCTGTACTGTGTTCGTACAGACGCTGACTGGTCTGGAAGACCTGAGAATCAACTTTACACTTGATACGACAGTTGACTGTGTGCGTGATGATATCTTGAGCAAGCTGCCAGAATCCGTGGCGAAGAGTGTGGTGATAACTACCCGTGGAGGACTAAACATCAGGGATTACACTACGGTGAGACAGCTGTGCAGAGGAATTACACATGCACCTTATTTTGTGAATGTTATGCTTCGAGTGCCTCTGTGTGGAGGGAAGGGAGGATTTGGCCACATGTTGAAACAGGGCCATGGAATCAGTAAGAAGAGAAAGAAGAAAAAGAGCAAGAATGGGGATGAAAAGGCATTATATAACACATTGGACGGGCGTAAGGTAAGGACAGTGAAGAGAATCCACCAGTTGGAGAAGCAACTTGAGATGATGGATGAGGTGGAGAGGAGGAAGCTGATGGACAAGAAGGAGAGCCTACAGAAGATACTCGACACAGACCTCACCAAGAACGTCAAGTTTGACGATACGGAGTTCTTAGACGATCTGGATAAGCAATTGGATGACATTAGTGGCGCGATAGACCTTACTGACAGTGGCTCTGAAGATGATGTTAGCACCGATGATGGAAGCTCTAGCGATAGCGAAGATGAGAAGAAGCACCAGCAGACTGAAACAAATAAAACGAAAAAACTCAACAGCTTCTTTAGAGATTGAATACTGGTATGACAACTACTTCAACAACTGAATACAACGACTGTATAACAACTTGTTTGTATATATTTATTCCAACATTGAGAGCCCTCAGAGGGTCTCATCGCTCGTAATAGTGGCCGTAACACGTTTCTCCCATACGCACACATACAAAATTTATCCAAAAACCGAGAAAACTTTTCACATTGGAAACCTCCCAACTGCATCGGCAACAGTTTTAAACGAGTCTTAGAGACGATGTCATCCCAAAGCAAAGATGTGTCAGTACAGGTTGATACCTTTGTTGAGTGAGTGCCTTCAAGCTTAGTCCTTTTCATGTGCTGTTCTAACCATCAATTGCGAATTGAAGGAATCTCAAACGTCGTCAATTTAGCGGGTCTTACAGGGTTGCCCTTGAGACATGTCAACTGTTGATGAGAGTTGTCTCTGCTGCCCGCTGGAACCACCCAGACCAATTGATCAGCCAGATACGGCAATTGGGTAAGCGTCTTGAAAATGCACAGCCTAGAGAGTTCTCGTGTGGTAACGTTGTTAGACGTGTATTGGCACAGATCAGGGATGAGGTGGAGACAGGTGATAATGATGCCGGCCAGACGATGATCTCCTCAATGTTCAGTCTGCTATCAACAGATGAGAAGAAAGATGAGCAAGTTGCGAGCCAGCCTATGCAACAGTCAAACTCAAGGGTGCAGGCCAAATCACATGATCTAAGGTCCACCACGATCCAGGGGATCAAGGACCTGATAGATGAGATCAGCAGCATAGACGAAGGTATCGAAGCCATGTCTGTAGATCTGATCCATGACAATGAAGTTCTACTGACGCCGACTCCAGACTCTCAAACGGTGCTGAAGTTCTTGTTGAAGGCTAGACAGAAGAGAAAATTTAGTGTATTGGTTACGGAATGCTTCCCCAATAGAACTAAAGAGGCCCAGCAGTTTGCTAAGGAATTGGCTGATGCCAAGATTGAAACCATCATTATCCCAGATTCACACGTATTTGCGGTGATGTCCCGTGTTGGTAAAGTCATAGTCGGTGCACGTTCTGTCTTCGCCAACGGTGGAACAGTGTCAAGTGCTGGCGTTGCTGCTGTGTGTGAATGTGCTAAGGAGCACAAGACACCGGTGTTCTCAGTTGCTGGTTTGTACAAGCTGAGTCCAACGTATCCATTTGATGTGGAAAACCTCATCGAAGTTGGAAACTCTGGTAAAGTTGTCAAGTTTTCGGATAGCAACTTGGTACAGCACGCTCATATAACAAACCCATTGTTTGACTACATCCCACCTGAGCACATTGACATTTACATCACAAACATTGGAGGTTTCGCACCAAGTTTTATCTATAGAATTGTGCTGGATAACTACAAGACAGAAGATGTTGACCTTGAGTGATCAACTAATACAACATTACTCCTTTTCTTTTAACAGGAGAACCCATGGATTCTCTTGTAATATCAATCCATTTATATACATATACATCACACAGCTTGCCCTGTGCCTCGCTCGGTTGGAGTCTCTTCTCCATATTCCAATCTTGAGCTGGATGATGAATGTCTCTTCTAGAGACGTCTTCAATGGGCTAAATCGACTTTAAATTTTACTAAAGCTATCCCTTCTTTGAGTGCGGTGCCATCGACCTTTGTTCAGGCTCTTATAGCCCATGGTGGTGTTGCAATTACTGGGATAGACAGCACATCGCAATATATACATTTGTATGTCCGTTTTGGAGATGAATGCAGCGTAGAAAGTGGTTGAAACTTCGCACCATTGTAGGATGAAGCCATAACGGTAAGAGCAAACCTCAATGAAGCTCAAGGTCAGAACAACGTCTGTTGATAGATTGAAGAGTGAGTACTGCTTGATTACATTGGCAGATAGCTTCCTAACACGCTTTCGAAGACTCAATTGTACCCATTGTCTCGCTTAGAAAGCATGCCATATTGAGGTTTACGCCACAGGGTCTCAACGTTATATCGTCAGAGTTCAACGAAACCACCGTATGGTGTACTCTCGCTGCTGAAATATTCGATATCTACGAGGTTGAGTCACTCAGGGATAACACAATAACTATTGAGCTCAACATTGAGCATCTACTTCTTGTGTTGAGGCAGTATGAGAAAAGTAATGCCGATAAGATCACCATCAGACTTCACAGGAAAGAGGCGACAGGTGGAGGTAGCACAACACGGGCCTCAAAGTTGAACCTTCTGTTGAACGTCTTCTTCATCAATACCATATCGTTGATGAGTACGACGCCAGTGGAACATACGTATAGTATCCCTGTGACGATGTTGAAGAAGGAGAGGGATGCAAAGATTGTCGAACCACACTTGGACAATATCGACGTTATGATGAAACTTCCCAGAGACATCGGGCTCCTGTTCAAGAGAATAGAGAGGTATAAGTACTCTGATAAGCTGAACGTCATTGGAACCAGCGCTGGACAGTTGTCTCTGAACATCAATGTGGAAAACTCCATGGATTTGACAATCAGCTGGAACCAGGAGCTGGAAGTTAGAGAATTGGACACGGAAGAACACACATCAGCATCACAAATGGATGATGAAGAAGAAGCTGGAGAGTCGAAATACGAGATTCAGGTCAAGATGAAGGATTGGAAGTTGGGAGCAAGGCTATGCGATTTCTGTAAGAACACATTTCTACTGATCAGCACAGAAGAGGCATTGGTGTTACACGGATACTTGGATGAAGAAGAAACGTGTCAGATAATATATTTCATCAACAGGTTAGATACATAGTTGCATAATACTAATCAATTGCTGTGAGCCTTACCGAACTCATTGACAAAGTCAACGAGTAAATCCACAGAGTGTTCAGTGACAGCGTTGTACAACGATGCACGCATACCACCAACGGAACGGTGTCCCTTTAGTCCATCGAGCTTCTTCTCCTTGGCCAATTTCAAGAACTCAGCTTCTAAGCCTTCACCTTCAATGGTGAAAACAACGTTCATATCACTTCTGACTCCTTTAGAAACAGGCTGTTTGTACAGCTTTGGATACTGGTCCAATGCAGCGTACAACTTGGAGGCCTTTCTCTTGTTCAGTTGTTCCTGAGCTTCAAGACCACCCTTGGCAATCAAATTCTGTAACACCAACTTCAAGATGTGAACAGTAAAGATTGGAATAGTGTTGTAGGCACTGTTGTTTTTGACCACGGTTGGATAATGAGTAGCAATTGGGGCCAATGGAACCCCCAATGCCTTGAGCTCATCATCAGTGGCTTGCTCAAGAAGAGCCTTCTTGATGATGTAGATGGTGATACCAGCGAGACCAACGTTCTTCTGAGCACCAGCCATGATCAATCCAAATTTGGAAATATCCATCTTACGGGACAAGATATTTGAGGACAAGTCCGCAACAACCTCGATTCCTTCGTACTCTGGAATGAATGGGAATTCAACACCGTTGACTGTCTCGTTATCACAGTAATAAACATACGCAGTCTCGCCTGGTGTAGGCTTCTTCCATTGTTCGAAAGGCTCAATGTCCCCGAACTTACCATAGGCCTTCTTGGAGTCAGTCAAGACCTCACAGTAGAATCCCAATCTCACTGCCTCTTCATACGACTTCTTACTCCAGGAACCTGTGATGGCATACGCACACTTACCTGGCTTACCGTGCTTCTTAACAAAAGAGGCAACCAAGTTTGGAGGAATAGAAGAAAAACCAGTGGTACCACCTCCTTGGAGGAAGAAAACTTCGTGAGTGTCAGGGATCTCCAGCAGCTTCTTGAAAAGCTGCTTGGTTTCGTCAACAACTTCAATTGCTGGTGCTGAGCGATGAGAAATCTCACCAACACCGAGTCCCAAGTTGTCGTAGTTGATCAGGTCCAAAGCTGCTTGTTGCAACACAGAGGTTGGCAACATAGCTGGACCGGCACCAAAGTAGTTTGGATCTTCTCTATCGAGGCTAGCCATTGTGTCCCAAGAGTTGTTATTCTATTCGAAGGTGGTATCAGATGGCTCACCAAGATGGTAATATCGTGAAGAAGAGTCATCGGGGCAACGCTGTAAAATTTAGTGGTTAATAACACCCGGACACCAATAACATCGCCCGGAGTCAAACCCTGTGGTGGTCGCTATGGTGATGACAGTGCCATATACTCCTTCGTCTCATATTCAGCTTTATATACAGAACTATTTACAACTCTCCACCGCTCCCTGTGCGCACTCAACGTCTCAAGAACGATTGATATGCCTCCTGGTTCACTGACACGTTTCCAATGGCCTTCATTCTCTTCTTTCCCTCTTTCTGTTTGACCAGAAGCTTCTTTCTTCTGGTGATATCGCTTGCGTGCATCTTGTGTAGCACATCTTTCCGCTTAGCCTTGATGGTTGATCTTGCAACGATCTTGTTATTGGCCCGAGCCTGTATGATGACTTCGAAGAGCTGGTTCTTAACGTGCTCTTTGAACTTTTCAACCCACTCTTTACCCGTGGATTGGACCAAAGATTGATGCATCACCTGGGCCAGTGCATCAACACCTTTGCCATTGACGAGTAGTTCCAGCTTACAAATCTTTGAGTCCTTGTAGCCGGCATCTTCGTAGTCCAGCGATGCATAGCCACGTGTCGCAGACTTCAGCTTACCGAAGAAGTCGTCCACGAGATGACTCAATGGGATCTCGTAGTTCAAAAGACACTGTCCAGTAGTTAGATAGTTGATCTCCTTTTGAATGCCCCTATTGTTATCACACAGCTGGATAACTGTGCCGAGATACTCCTGTGGGAACGTCATTATGGCCTGGACATAAGGCTCCTGGAACCTACTCACCGCCTGTCTCTTTGTTGTGCCGTCTGGGAAGTCGTCTGGGTTTGTAATGGTCTTCTCTTCACCGTTAGAGTATATGATCTTATATGGAACAGTTGGATTCGTCAGGATAAGGGAAGCACCATACTCTTTTTCCAGTCTCTCTTTGAATACAGAGGCGTGTAATGAGCCTAAGAACCCTAGTCTCCATCCTTGACCCAGCGCATTCGAGGTCTCTCTCTGTAATGTTACAGAACGGTCATTTAAGACCAGTTGGTTCATCTTGTCGTCCAAATCTTTGAAATCAGTGTCGTCCGCAGGGAAGGCACCGACAAACACCATGGGCTTGGGCTCTTCGAACCCTGGCAATGGCTCCACAGGCTGAGAGACGTTCATGAAGGTATCACCAATCATCGCTTCCGATGTCTGCTTCATTCCACAAACAATATAACCAACTTGTCCGGCCTTTAACGTATCAATGCTCACCCTCTCTGGATACATGATACCGACTTCTTTAACCTCGTATTTACGCTCGGTGTGAGGTGAAAACACTCTTTGGCCCTTCTTCACAGTTCCATCAACAACATGGACCAGAAGAACAACACCCAAATACGAATCGTACCATGAGTCAACCAGGAGTGCTCTAAATGGGCTTGAGAGCTTACCAGTAGGAGGAGGTATTCTTTCAATTATCGCTGGAAGCAGCTTTTCCACGTTCAATCCTGTCTTTGCACTCACCTGTATGATATCCTCTTCCGGCAATTCAAACGTAGTCTCAACCTGTTGTATTGCAGAAGGGATATCAGCCTGCTGAAGGTCAATCTTGTTGATAACCGGTATCAACTTCAATCCCATACTATAAGCCAGGTAGAAGTTGGCCACAGTCTGAGCCTGCACACCTTGCGATGCGTCCACCAGCAGCAGTGCTCCACCACAGGAGGCATAGCTTCTCGACACCTCGGCTCTGAAATCAACATGGCCTGGAGTGTCAACGAGGTGTAACAGGTAGTCCAAGCCTTTGTATTTGTAGAACATCGAGCACGTCTGTGCCTTGACGGTAATACCTCTCTCTCGCTCCACATCGAGCTTATCCAGCACCTGCTTCTGCCCAGGCTTAACTACACCAGTGAGCTCCAGCAGCCTATCACTCAACGTTGACTTCCCATGGTCGACGTGTGCCACAATGGAGAAGTTCCTGTACCGTTCAATCGGGATCTCCGCTATCCTCTCCTGGATCGACTTGGACGATGAATGCCTCACTTGTTTCACAAGGACAGTCCATCGTAGAAGCCGTAGCTGTCTCATTACACCGTGGCCTCTCTCCATCAAAACCATTTATGTCTCAATTGGACATGTCCGAGGAGGCCATTGGCAAAGTGGACAAAAAATCTGCAGCTCATCGCCAATGTCCCCGGGACATATAATACAAAATTTTTTTTTTTCTCCTAAGCTCACCACTTTGGAGTCGGAGAAAGTGACCACAACCACTGTGAAGAGATGTCCAGTACGAAGATTCTCACAGTAGCAGCACTGTCTGCTCTTGTCACAGCAACTCTTGTAGAAGGGTATCATTTGTACCAGAGCTCAAAAGAACCAGCGAAGAAGATCTCCAAGAAGAAGATCTCCAGTGATGCGTACGATGAAGAGCTCATCAGAGAACAATTGGCCAGAAACTATGCCTTCCTCGGAGAAGAAGGTATGGCGAAGGTTCGCAACCTGAACGTTGTTGTTGTTGGATGCGGTGGTGTCGGCTCCTGGGTGTGTACCATGCTTGTACGCTCTGGTGTTTCGAAACTAAGAATCATTGACTTTGACCAAGTGTCGCTGAGCTCCTTGAACAGACACGCTGTGGCCACGCTGGAGGACGTTGGTATCCCGAAAGTTGAATGCTTGAAGAAACACCTGTTGAAGATTGCGCCGTGGTGTGAAATCGAGGCCATCAACCAGCTGTGGCACCTGCCACAGGCCGACTCACTCCTGTCTGGTGAGAACGTCTACGTCGTTGACTGTATCGACAACATCGATACCAAGGTTGACTTGATCGCATATGCCCATAAGAGACAAATGCCTATTGTGTCGTCCATGGGTGCTGCTTGTAAGAGTGATCCAACAAGAATAAACATCAGTGACATCTCTAAATCTGAAGAGGATCCATTGGCCAAGTCTGTACGTCGCCGTCTCAAGAAGCTGGATATCACAACAGGCGTTCCAGTGGTGTTCAGTGCTGAAAAGCCGGATCCTAGAAAGGCACAGCTTTTGCCATTACCGGAGGAAGAGTTTGCAAAGGGTAAAGTTGATGAACTGTCTGCTTTGAGGGATTTCAGAGTTAGAATACTTCCAGTCTTGGGGACAATGCCAGCAATGTTCGGGTTGACTATCGTCACATATATCCTTACATCTGAATCTGGCTATCCAATTGAACCAATCGAAGGTAAGAATAGAATCAAGATCTACGATGGTATATTCCAAACGCTTGCTGGCCAACAGACACGTATCGGTGAACCTGATCAACGTGTGCCAATCTCACTAAGAGAGGTGCCATATATCTGTGAGGAGGTGTTCAGAGGTAAATCACCAATCTCTGGGTTCTCGACAAAGTTGACTCTCTCAAGATGGGATCCATCAAAGCCAATCAGTTTGACAAACGTTGTTATCATGACAAAAGAGGAACAAAAGATCCACGAGGAGAAGGTTCTTATTGGACGTCAACCACTGGACCAGGTATACTCCAAAGAGGTTCTTGAACTCGTAGAAAAAAGATTCAAAGAGGAAGAGTACTACGAACAATTCAGATGAGTTTCTTTGAAGGGAGGTATCTATCTTTGATGAAGATAAACAGGGTATAAAATCAGGACATCAAAACAATCACTAAGTATAGATTGATGCACCAAGTGGTACTGTAGCCTGTTGACGATACTGTTGCGTTTGGGAAGGATCTTCTTGGAAATATTCATGTAATAGAGCACGTTTAGCACTTATACGACCAGCTGGGTCGTAAACCAACATCTGCTCCAATAGATCAACACCCGCAGGGTCCAACGTTGGCACGGTATCTTGTAAGTTCTTCTTTGACCATTTAGGGAAGGTTGGTTTGAAATCCGGTAGATATGTAACGTCTGGCCAAACCTCCTCGGTCGGTGTACCTAGGATTCTAAAGATTCTAAAGATCTGGTCAATCTCGGAATCACCTGCAAATAGCGGCTTACGGTTAACCATCTCTGCAAATATGCAGCCTATAGACCAGATATCGACACCTGTCGAGTATTGCTTGCCACCTAGCAAGATCTCTGGGGCTCTGTACCAGAGTGTCACAACTTCATGGGTATAGGATCTCAAGGGAACACCAAACCCTCTCGCTAGACCAAAATCGGCCAACTTCAAATTACCTTCCTTGTCGATCAACAAGTTCTGAGGCTTCAAGTCTCTATGGAGAATACGATGGCCGTGGCAATAGGCTGTGCCCTTCACCAGCTGCATCAAGAACTTCTTGATCATATCGGCACCTAGGCCAACGCCTTGCGGTATGGACTCCATGTACTTCTTCAAATCCAAGTCCAAGAACTCAAACACCAAGTACAACTTGTGCGAATCCGAGTGGATAATATCGTATAGCCTGACCGTGTTCTCGTCCCTGAGCTCTTTCAATAACGAGATCTCGCGGATAGCAGTCGATGGCACTCCCTCGTCTTCGCTCTCAAGACGGATCTTCTTCAATGCAACAACTCGGTTGTTGTGTCTCGTGTCAAGCGCCTTATAAACAACTCCATACGTGCCCTCACCCACTTTCTCTAACCGCTGGTAGTTGGATAAATCAACCATTTCTGTACCGCTCTGCAGATTTGCTTTAGCGCCCTTCTGCTTCACTGCTTTCTTGAACAAGCTGTTTAGATCCAAACGAGGGAAGAAAAAACGTTGTTGTGTTTTTGTTTTGATTTCCTCATTTTCTGACCGTTTTTGTGATTTTCGTGTCGCTTTCTGTGAATTTCCGTTTTGGGAAATGCCAGGTGTTTACTACCCAGATTGTTGATCTATGAACTACACCGTTGCATTGCAATGTATAAATATTGGAGCCTATTTACCCTTTGCCAATTTCTTCAATGCTCTTTTTCTGATGCTCAGATGCATGTTCAAGTTCAAAGTGTTTGCGAGCTTTGAATAGACGCCCACGGTGTTTTCAATGGCCCAGTGCATTATGGCATGGGACCAGAACGGGGTGGATGTAGCGTAGCGCTCCTGTGCACCGCAACGGCGCCCCACTGTCTTCAACACGGAGGCGACAAAGGCCTTTGGGTTTGGGATGGTGGCCGAGGTACGTCTGATCTTTGACATTGCGCTGGTGACGAGGTAGGAAATCACTAGCTCAACGTCAATGTTGTCGCTAGCTAACTCACCAGCAAGAGCAGAGCTCCACGATTGGAGGAAGGCCTTGGAACCAGAATAGGTTGCAAGCAAGGGAGTTGGCAACAGCCCACCGAAAGAGCCCATGGTCAAAATCAACCCACGTGTTCCCTTGTTCTGCTTCAAAGTGGACTGGATCAATGGGATGACGATCTGCGTGGTTTTCAGAGTTGCAGTGTTGTTAATGGTGATGATGTTTCTCAGCTCTTCATCGGATGTCTCCACGAATGGAACAGGGATGCTGTGGGACTGGCCAACGTTGTTGATCAGCACAGTGACTGGCAAGCTCTGTAACAGTTCTGCGATCGATTCGTAGTTCGAAGCCTTGTCAGCAGCAAAGTCAATGGCCAATGTCTTTGTCCCAACTTTGTACTTGAGTTCAATCTCCTCGGCAAGTGCGTCCAACTTGGATTGCGTTCTTGAGATCAACACAACATTCATTCCTCTCTTGGCCAATTGCAATGCATACTCCTTACCAATACCATCAGAAGCACCCGTGATTACAGCCCATTTACCGGTTTTAGCACCATAAGTCTTGAAATCAACAGGTGGGAGGACAAATACGTCCAACAGCAAAGAGGCATAACTCAGCGTCAAAGTGGTCAATTTACACACTCCAATTGCCAATGCAACGTACAACAACGCATTGACAATGCACGATTGGCCAGCAAGGGCACTGAAATCAACAGCAAATGACATCGTCTCTTTATTCGTTGCTCTTCGTCCTTTATGAAATGGCTTAAGAGGAAAGTTAGGGACAAGGCCCAAAACTCCCATCGGGCTCGCCGTAGTAAAAATTTCGCGCGAATTCCACACAAAGCAGTTTGCTCTTTATCACCCCGGTTACCAACTGTTTACCATTTGCAATAGAGGGATTATATGGTGGTTGCTCTTTGCTTGCTTTAAAATGGGGATTGATTTGTATTAAGAGGGATATAATGAGTTGTTGTGCGACCGGATGAGTATGATCTGTAGACATGGGCCAAGACCATGGCGTAGCTGTAACATAAGCAACAGTAGCTAAGACCCGGGTTGAGCACAATATATCTACACCAACTGCTCTACCCACAGTATGTTGACAGATAAACCAGCGTTCCTTGTTTAGCGGAGTAGAGATAGTACGTGTACCATGTTAGACGACACACGCCTATGTACTTGGACTTGATGAGGTTTCCACACATCACTTATGCTTTGGCTTAGTTACACGTCCCTGCAGCATGCTCTCTTTCCTCTTCTGTAACAATCGAAGACCTTCGTCCTGCTTCTGCTTCATCTTTGCAACTTCCTCTCTCAACAGTGCGTCTGACACGCTATTCTGGCTGTTCGTCGTGCTAGAACGGTACAGGCCACTAACATCACTGAGCAATTCGTAAATCTTAATCTTGTGATCCCTTTCCACAGCCAACACGTCCTTGATCTTCAAGTGGGAAAACTTCTTCGGCACTGCTGCTAACCGTCTCTGAACCTTCGCCTCAAAGATCGTGCACATCCTCTGTTGGTCTTTCACGAGCGCCTCTCTTCTCTTCGAACCTGTTTGCTGAGTCAGTATCACACCATATAACTCGACTCCAACTGCCACACTCACACTGCATCTTAAAACGGTATATCAGCCTATCCTTCTGCTCCTGTGTGTACAACATCTGAGCTATTCGAGCCACGCTTCCTTCAAACAACTGATGCTCCCCCTTCCCTCTTGAGACAAGCTCATTTTGAAGTTGTGTTCCTCGAAATGTAAACAAACATCAACCTTCGCGAACCCGTTTGATAAAAAAGGCCATCGGAACGCCGGTTTCGGCCATCGGGCCTATTTGACGCTGATACCGCTTTCGAAGCTCACCTTTGTTCAGTTAAAGAGAGCGGTAAAGCCTTCTTCCCTCCTCTCTGTCTCGTAGTATTCCCAGTATTCTCAAGCGCTATGAGTTCTGATAAGAAGGTAAGTGATACTCTGTTTGCTTCAACAACACACGGACTAACCACGAGCGACAACTTGTGTAGAAGATTGATCCCGTGAAGTCCTTCATCGCCGGTGGTGTAGCCGGTGCAGTGGAAGGTGTGATCACGTATCCGTTCGAATGGTCAAAGACTCGTCTACAACTCATCGATAAGAGCTCAACAGCGTCCAGAAACCCACTGGTGCTCATCTACAACACTGCACGGGCCCAAGGTGTCTCTACGATCTATACCGGCTGTCCAGCCTTTGTCGTTGGTAACACGGTGAAGGCATCAGTCAGATTCTTAGGGTTCGACTCCATAAAGAAGCTCCTTGCCGACAAGGAGGGTAAGCTCTCGGGCCCAAGGGGTGTCGTGGCAGGTCTTGGTGCCGGCCTGTTGGAATCCGTGGTTGCCGTCACGCCATTCGAAGCTATCAAGACAGCGTTGATTGACGATAAACAAAGCGCCAAACCTCGTTATCAGGGTAATTTCGTCACTGGCTCTATCCGCTGTGTTAAGGACCTGGGTCTCAAGGGCCTGTACGCAGGTGTTGTCCCAGTCTCGTTACGTCAAGCTTCGAACCAGGCCGTCCGTCTGGGTTGTTACAACAAGATCAAATCTTCCATTCAACAGGCATCGAATACTCCACCAGATCAACCTCTCAGTTCTGCAATGACATTTCTCGTTGGTGCCTTCTCCGGCATTGTGACTGTCTATACCACAATGCCAATCGATACAGTTAAGACAAGAATGCAGGCCATTGGTGCAGCAGAGAAGTACTCTTCAACGGTTAACTGCTTCGCAAAGATCTTCAAAGAAGAAGGTCTCAAGACCTTCTGGAAAGGTGCTACGCCAAGATTGGGTAGATTGATCCTCAGTGGTGGTATCGTCTTTACAATCTACGAAAAGGTGTTGGTGATTCTAAACTGAGTTCTGAGTACTAGATTAACCATTTTAAAACACACCGATCTCCTCTGTATATGGATAGATTGCCAAGATTATATACAGGATGATTCCCTTCATGATTTTGTAGCTTCTGCTTTAGGTCTTTTCACTGCTTGCTCACCTTTTATATTCTTGCGTTTCTTAGTCTTCACGGGTCTTGCCTCCCCTTCGTCATAGACAAAGCTTGGTAGGTCGTACAACTTGACATGTTTTATGCTGATGGAGTAGACCGATGGATCGCTATACTCTGTGAAAGAACGGCATAGAGTAAAGAAATCGTTACATGGAACATGGATATCAAACTTCTTCGCATCGTTATTAACAGTGATATCCAGTCCAATGTATAAAGCCGTCAGGTGTAAATGCTTCTTCTCCGTGTCATCTGTTCCTTCGTCTTTCTTCGCATCTTCATCTTTAACAACTTCCTTATACTTTTGCAGCTCCGATTCGGTTGAATAGTTCCCGAATTTGGATTCAATTGATTTGGCCTGCTCTTTAGTATCGTATTCATATGTCTTCTCAAACTCCTTCACGTAAGGATGTGCGGTATTAATCCCTGGGAAGGTCTCCAGTTTCTGAACCAACAGTCTCAATTTCGATTCCACTAACCCACTCCATTTTAAGTGCTGTTCATCATCACCTCTAGTTGATGCAATTATGGTCAAATAGAACTTGTACTTGTAGAAGAAATCGTGCTTAACAAAGAGATCTGACCATGGCTTCTTATGTGCGACGATGTCTTGCATCAACGCTGAACCTCTTTGTAATTCAGCCATTATTATCTTCTGCGTAGAAGCACTAATATTATGCGTAGCACACATCGATGGATAAGCTGGTGTAATCACCGGCATTCTGTGCTGACGATCTTGGGCATAAACCCTAGGATTCCAAATTCTCACCTGTAATGGGCCATCTTCAATAGGCTTCAAGAGAACAGGCTGTGGCCACGACCATTGGGTATAGATATGGAAGAATTTAGCCACAATCACTGCCGACACAGCATTAGGGTATAGTTGACATATACGAGCCACCAACATTGCCCATGCAACACCACCTGGGAATCCAAACACGTTGGCATAGATCGCACGTCTCTGAGCCCACAGCTTGATTGCCCTTAAACTCAGCTTAAACACCACTGGCTTCGGAACCAACTGTAATATCTCGTCAGTAACTCTGGTTCCGTTCAAAGCCCTCAGGTCCTTTTCGTCCAAATTACGCAACAAGTTCTTGTCTGCCAATGATAGATCTAAAGGCACCTGTGGTATATCCAGCTTAGCACAGATAAGATCAATCGATATTCCCGAGAACTTGATCTTGATGATGGGGACAAACGCATCAGGAACAGGCGCAATCTCTTCGAGTTCTGGTCTCTGTCTGAGCAATTCGTCAAAGACTGTAAAGAAGTCTTCTCTGGTGACATGCTTTGGCACAACAACCAATGTGTCGATATCCGAGCCTGGCCCGTAAACACCCAATCTATAAGAACCAAACGTGAAAATCTTACCACCGGCATCCTTTGCCATGCCTTCACTCATGTTCTTGTTCCTTGAGACTTTATACACAAACTGTTGGACCAGCTGTTGAAAGATCTGTAACACCTCAACTCTTCTCTTCGTCGCCTCCTCGCTTTCGAAAGACCCTTGTTTCTTCAACTCTTTCACCAATTCATCGTTCAGCACGTTCTCTGTTGGCGTTGGCCCCTCCACAGAGATCGGAGGGGTCATACCATACGTCTTGGTAACACTCATAGCTTTAGTATTCCCACAATTAACACGCTGTTTCCACTGGAAGCCTCGTTGTTGATGCTCTGTTCCCTTCACAATCTGCTGGAAAATTGAACAGAAAAAAAAAATCCCGAAACAGCAAAGATCCACCCACCAAGACTGCGTAAATTTCAGAACGCTACCGCTGGACAGCCGACGTAAATCTCAGCACTAACAAACGCTACTCCGGACGTAGAGACGGAGCAGTGCACACACTACACGGTCAGCTTGTATATAAAACCAAATCATATCAACATCCATAAATATCTATACAATCTCATCAGGTGAGCTCGGAGGTAGATTCGACGGTGGTGCCAGTATCACCTCCTCCATCTTCCGTGCACGATGATAGTCGATGAATGCCTTGACAAAGATGTAAACCCCCAATGCAGCTATGAAACAACTAAATACAACAGCCTTTGTAGATTGTGTGCTCTCGATACTCATATCAGCTCCTGAGCTTAGCGACGAGTCGAAGTGGTCCACAGTGCCACTCAGGTCGTACGACTGTTCGTCAAAATTCGTTGGCGAAGATATTTCGATTCGTTCACTCTCCAGATCTTCATTCCCGAGATTCAGTTTCTTTAGAGATGGGAACATTGTATAGGAGTAAGTCATAAACGTTATCCCTAGTCCTGCTCTTGAGCCTTGTTTAGCAGCGTGTGATGTATGCAAGACATATGTCAACAGGAACCCGACAAACTGGAACGTTGAGGAAACCATCAGGTTCCATAGGAAGTTCACAATGTTCCCCACTGGTAGCCCGTCTACAAACACTTCATCTTCAAAACCAGGTGAGAGTATCGAGTTTTCCCAGTACGGCGGTGTGGCATCTGCTGCTGCTTCGTCATATGTTGGGGGTTTATCCGAATCCAACTGTGGGTTGGCATCAGGCTTTGCGCTCATGTTGTTGAATACACCATCGTTCTCAGACCCACCACCAACAGAGTGCATGTTCGAAGAATGTGAGCTCAAAAGAGTTGAAGAGGCGCCCTTCCTCTTGAACACCCTGTCAAGGATGTTGAACCCGTTGCAAACCGTGCTCATGCTTAGTATTTTGCCACTCGACAGCTGCTCCGCATTCCCGCTACCATTCCCCTGCGTACCACTCGTTCCTGGCTGATCGCCATTCCTGTTGTTCGTTGTCGATGATGATTCGGCGTTGAACATCGTCTCCTGCATACTTCTCGTGACACCTTCAACGGACTCGCCATCGTCAAGACGATCATCTGATGAGTTCTTGGAAACGCCATTCGCATCGTCGTGCAAGCTCTGCTGGAACGACGATAGAAGATTCGTGTTCGGGGACCCGAGAGGGTTACTGCTTGCGCTCATGTCTTGCAAGGGAACAGAGGCCGATGGAGCTTCAAAGAGCACATTTACATCATCATTCGAATCCTCAATCTGCGTAGAACAAAAAACGTGTTAGCGTATGTTATTGAAGCCAGGCGATTAGACAAGAAACTCACTCTCTTATAAGAAACCATCGTATCTTCTCTTCTCCTCTTCTTCTTCCTCGTCTTCACTACGCTATCCACCAAAATGGGAAATCATTCAAGCCAAAAAGCCTGAGAAAAAATGCCACCATCTCCCCCCTCCAAAAAAAAAATACCCTGCCACTGCGGGCTTCCGTCTCTGTTTTAGGGGGGAAACCCACACCAAAAACAAAGCCAGCGCCCTCTTCCCCATCGGCAGATTCGTTTATCGCGCGAGCAACGCGCGCGGTAAACAAACACAAAGAATAAAAAACCACAAAAACCACATAGCACAGCCTTATTTTGCCTCTGTGGTTTGCTTTAGGGGTTAACCGGTTTGTTAGGCAAATTCCGATCCGCTCACGGTTGTTCGTAAAAGTCTAAGCCTAAAAATGTTCTACAGCGCATGACTAAGCGCTTTGTAATCAACCTCATCTCTTTCAACATCAAAGCTTTATGGAGACTATACACTTCATGCCCGGTTGATGGTTGAAGACGACTCTTTTCTTCTTTAGCGTTGTAGGCTCGGCCTTAGGTGTGTTAGCTGTGGCGTTTGTAGGATCAACCACGCCTTCGGCTTCTTGCGGCTGCGCTTCATTGTTGATTACGTTTGGTCTCTGTGAGATATCGACAGGCTTGTTCTGCGTCTCTATAACCTCGACGTATGAAGAGGTGTCAGGGCCCAGGTCCAGCCCACCAGGTAGCACGGTGGTTGGCACAGGCGTTCTCAATGTCTTTGGCAAGTCGGAAAGGTCTGGTAGCTGAGGACCACCACGGCGTCCGGAACGTCCTTGTCTTCTCTTACGTCTTGAATCACGCTCCCGGTCTTTGTCGATTCTCTCCAACTCAGCGTTGGAGATCTCCAAGACTTGCGGCGTGAATTGTGTGAGAGTTGACCTTGGACGTAGATAGTCCAAATGCGTAACAACAGACGCCATTCTGTTTCTGATGTCGTCGTCTTCAATGAACCCGCCTTTGAAATCATAGCCAACAAGGTGTAGGGATTTGGTATACAACTGAGCCTGTTCTCTAATGGAGTGTGCTATAGCCGTGATGAACTCCGGGGTCAATGACAACTCCTCAACCATAGCAGTGGCGAAGTCCTCAGGGTTGTTCTCGGGATTCGAAATATCCCATTCAAATTGATCGATCAAATGGTTGTTACCAATCGCAATGTCCAATTTGACAATGATTCTTTGATCATCTCCAAATTTACCCTGACTGGAATGACGATGGTACTCGTTGATCTGCTCCTTGATCGAAACTAACACTGTATCAGCAAAAAGTGGATTGGTGAATCTGTAATCTTCCATCAAGGTGGCAACAATTTGTTCCAGTGTTACAGTCTTATCGTTCGCATTCAAGACAAAAGTATCTCTCAAGCTGAATTTGTCCTTTTCAGAATCAAATTCAAGTCTAATCGGAATCAGTTCATCAGGTCTTAAAGCTTGTAAGTCCATCTCCTTCTTATTGATGTAGACATCTCCTATTCTAGTATGCTTCTTTCTGTTTCTTGGTAAAAGAACCATTGTTGGGCCATCTGTAAAGCCATTCCCATACCCTTGATAACCCTCTCCCCATATACTTCTGGTATACTGCTTAGCGCTCGAATAGTGAATTGTCTTCATACGAGCCAGCTTTAAATCGTTGTAGAACTTCAAGTCTTTCATGAGACGCGTAATCAAGGGTTTATTACCAGTCTCCAACCTCTCCTTGGTTAGCACCTCACGGTTGGTCAAATCCCTGTTTATCAACTGTTCAAAGAAAGTCACATCACCATCAGGTGGCAGCCCTTCCTTTTTCAACTTCCCACTCCAGTAGTGTAAGTTCTCCCATGGTTCTAAAGTACTAGCTATAATCTGCTGAGCATTGATGGGCATTCCCACACCAGGCACAGCGCCTTTCATATTGGCAAACGTCTGTTGAGGCATCTGCTGGTGTTGAGGAAGTTGTTGAGCCAGTTGCTGTTGTTGGAAATGTTGTAAAGCTATTGGAGGTGGGTGCTGTTGTACTTGTTGTTGTGACAGTGGTGGCTGTTGTTGTTGTTGTTGTTGCTTCAGAGCCGCCAATCTCTGATTAGTCAACAGCTGTTGTTGTTGTTGTGGAGTCAAATGAGGAGGTACAATACCAGCCATTTGAGAAGGAATCCCACCAACAGCTAGTTGAGCTTGTTGTTGATGTTGTTGTTGAAGCATTTGCAACTGTTGTGGAGTCAAATGTTGTAAATCACGCTGCTGTTGCAATTGTTGCTGTTGAAGCATTTGCAGGTGAATCTGCTGTTGCACATTCGGTGGGATGTTACCATTGTTGAAGCTCATCTTACTCGACTTGTAATCCACGCTGAATAACCCACGTTGTATTTGTTTCCTGCTCGTCCTTCCCTCGTTTTGAAATGTGATAAACAAACAACTCACAGAAGGCCCGAGAACCACAACAACGGGCAAACAAACAAAAAAAAGTAGCGTTGAAAGGAAACCCGAGGGTACACCTGGGCTGTGGTTGGTCGGAACTAAGCCGGAAGGCTCTGTTCATCCGCACGCCTGAACACCTGGACACCACATCATTATGTCATCAGCTTTGGTATCTACACGACTGGCTGACAAAGAGGGACATATTAGTCAGGTTATTACCAATCAACACACATATGATTACAACCACTCAGTGTTTCCATCTCGAGAAGTATGCATCGCGCCATTGTTATAAATTCCCATAGTGTTGCATCCATCTCATTGGTATAAAAGGGGATATCATCACTGTCTTGCCTCGGTTGCACATGTTGGTTCGTTCCTTTTTGGTTAGCATCATTGTTATCATCGTCGCATTGTTTGCATCAAAGTCATTTCACCATAAAGTCCTTGCGGGTCTCTCATCGCTATTAGGACGTTCTGCTATTAACAACAGTCTGAACTCAACAACATCCTCGATTCTCTCAGACTCAATGACAAGCTCATCTGTGAATCTGTTCAATTCGGATAAACCAAAGACCCCTGTCTATTTCTTCTCCCATGGAGGGCCTACGTTCATGTACCCGGATGATCCATTTGGTGAAGCCGGTGCCTATAAAGCGGTTTCCAAAGTTGGCAAATTTATCAAGAAACAGCTGAAGCCAAACTTCATCATCGTGGTATCTGCACACTGGGAAGGTCAAGGACAAATTGAGATTGGCGTTCCTAAGGATACCCTTGGTGGTGACGATGAGAATGAACTCATCTACGATTTCTATGGGTTCCCATCGCACATGTACAAGGAACAGTTCCACTCCAGGGGAAGCGTGTCCCTTGCGAAGGACATCAAGAAGTCCTTACAAGAAGAAGGCCTCGATGCCAAATTGACACCAAGGGGTATTGACCATGGTGTTTGGGTGCCATTTAAGGTGGCATTCTCTACAAACAAGGCCAGCGATGAACACTGGGATGTCGATGTCCCATTGGTTCAAGTTTCTCTGTTACACAGCGACGATTTCAAAGTCCATAGAAAATTGGGCCATGCCTTGGCCAAGTATAGGGAACTGGGAGGTGTTGTGATCTGTTCTGGTATGTCTGTTCATAACCTGAGGGACTTGGGAGTGGCTGCTAGCACGGGAAGAACTATGCCCTATGTAACACCTTTCAACAAGCTGTTAACAGATGCGGTTTCCAAATCCGGCGATGACAGATTCGCATCATTGGAGGACTTGAAGAGCGATAGCAAACAGCTCTTGTACAAAGCACATCCATCTTTAGAGCATTTCATGCCTATTGTCGTTGCATCCGGAGCAGCTGAAAATGAACCTGCAAAGGAAATCTACAACAGTGCAATGCTATCGTTGGGATGGGGAGTTTACCAATTTGGAGACTACGTGTCAAATGACAAAGAAAAAATATGAGATATCTTCTGATAATAAATAAATAGTTGTATATGGAGAATAAATAAGTCACCTCAGGGAAAATAAGCCAGTAGGGGTGATTAGACGCTCAGGAGCTTCTTAACCTCGCTTTCAATTTGGGCCTTGTCCAAACCCTCGAGGTCTTTTTTAACTTCAGCGCCCTTCTCAAATCTGACAAAGACCAAAGGCTTGGCCTGTTGTGATTCTCTGATCAAGATTGGAAGCTCTGGGTTGGCCTTGTTGAGAGCCGGATATGAACTCACCAAGAAGGATCTGTTGTTTAAAGGGGCGTTGAGTTAGTTTCCACTCTCATCAACATTCCACTATCCTATGAAGCATAACAGCGCTTTAGATATATTACTCACCTCAAGGCGCTTGAGCCTTCATTCACCTGTGACAAATGGAATCTGATCTCCTTGACGGTCTTTGCAATGGCTGACATGGCGTATATTTATTGTTGTCGTTCTTTTTACGATTCGCTTCCAGTTGGTTTAACGGAGAACTTCAAAATTTCCCTTTTCTTTCGGAGAGGAAGGGTTTTGGTCCGGGACACACAATCAACACACATCGCCTACAATGCTACAGAGGTGATCGAAGTGATACAAAAAGATGGGATTAGAGCGTTTGTTATTCTTCTGTGTTCCACACGTTCCTCAAAGGTGAAGATGGTGCTATCATTTGTGAGTCTTCTGATTTGGTTTCATGTTCTGGTTCTGGTTCTGATTCTGCCTCTGCTTCTGCTTTTGCTTCTGCCTCTGCCTCTTCTTCAGGTTCGTCTTTTCCCACCTCATCACCATTTAAAACTCTTGAAGATCCATGTAAAACTGGCAGAGAAAATGAATTGTCATCCAATGAGGTATCACCAGCTGCATTATCGGTCTTATTAAGAATCTTCTCCTTCAGCTTAGACTTTAGAGGTGTACTAGAATATAAAGAAGTGTCTGCCGCAGATTTCAATGTTCTGATGGATTGCTGATGAGTCAATATCGGCTCCACCACTGAGCCAACTCGATCTATTCCAATCATCTTATCGCCTATCTCTAGATGTCGAAGGGAGGTTGTAGTCTCCGCTGCTTGTTCCTCTAATTTAGGCTGTTCTTGTTCGTCCTCCTCTTCCTCTTCCTCAATGGTATTGTCATCCTCCTCCTCTGGTGTGAAAGGATCGGCACATTGTACGATCAAATCGTCTAGTCCACCACCAGACCATCCTTTCTTGGCTATCCCTTCGGATATTTCAACTTGTGCACGTACGATAGAGCCTAGTTTCTTCATAATCTCCATAGATGTACTTTGCACCAGATCAAATGAGCTTTGGTAATAGTCATGCTTCAATTTATCAATCTCGTCAATATGTGATGTCAATTGGAGTAGTTTGTTCTTGTATGCCACAAGGTTACGGGTCTTGGACCTTGATAATTTGGCGTTCTCCCGTTCTTGCTGTTTCAAAGTCTTCACACTGTCTCTAATGTTAACTCTGAACAATTCATCATTATTTTTCGCTTTCTCTCTAAAAAGTGCAATCTCCTGTGCCATTGGCTGTGCAAACGATTCCTCAACGCTATGTGCTAAGATCTGTTGATGGTTCGCCACAAGAAAGAAAAGACCGCTTGCTGATAGCAGTCCATCTGCAGCAGTCCCTGACCCTTTACACTTGGATCCTTTCTCTAAGCTTGAGCCGAAGTTCTCTGCCGCTTCTGCTAATGTCAGCAATGCTCTTCGATATTCTCTAGCGGAATCCAAGATTTCGTTAAACGTCTCTGAAGTTTGCACTATATCTGTCTTGGTCAATAGCCTATTGAAATCCAATGTTGAAGGTGCAAAAGACGTAAAAGAGTTCATCGTGCTTAGCGATGGCTTTCTAGAGCGTGTAGATGAATAGCCTTCACTGGTGGCTGTACTTGTGACAGCCCCAACATGGTTGGTATTATTGTTATTGTCGCTATTGAAGACGGGCTTGTTCAGGTATGGATAGAACTCGGATAAATGTGTAGCTTTGGAATACCGTGTAGGAGATGCCTGTGATAAGCGTCCTATACTCTCGGGGGTAGATAACTTTGAACTACCCTCTGTGTTGTGACTCATGATTAGGTTGTATAGATTGGATGAGACGTATTGGTACACTTAAGATGGGTCAGATGAATTGACGATGGACCGGAAACGGGAGGAGAGAATAACAAAAAAAGAGAACACAGCAAATCAGTAGTGTCAACAATAACAGCAATTGAATCTCTTCCTTCCTCAAGGTTATAACCCAATAGCTTTGGTGTGTGTATATCTATGTGTTGTTGTGATCTGTTGTGTTTATCCCTAGCAATCGCTCCAAAGGTTTTTCGTTTGTGTTCATCTACCAATATTTTTGTGGTTTCCATGGTAACGACTGGTTTTATTTGTCTCTCTTTTCGCGAATTATTCTGTCCCTTTTTTTTTTGTCGAGACATTTTTTCTTCACCAAAAGTTCGAAAAGACAAACGGAAAGTTGGAAAAGACAAAGGACTTTTCACAGCGTTAGGAAGAAACGACAGACGAAGTTAGAAGAGGATGCTTAGTTTGAGGAACTTTATCACCGGTTTAAGATCCACCAGATCTTATGCTACTACAGCTACTGCAAAAGCTGCCACGTCTGCTTCATCCGCTGGTGTATCTCGACCTGTCGAGTACTTGAAGGACAAGGACTCTAGAAAGACCTACCTCATCAACAGATACAAGTATATTCTCTCCGATGCTCAAATCGTCCTTTTTGCACATCACAACAACCTTCTGCATAACGAAGTCAATGCGTACAGAGACCAGATTAGATCATTTGGCGGTGATTTAACTGTTGTTAGAAACAACTTGTTGAAGGCATACCTCAGAGCTGAAAATGAAGCAGAGCCTGCCAGTGTGGAAGCTCATGAAAAGACCAAGAGGGTAAAGCACCCATTATCACAGTTACTCGCTGGACCAACTGCCATCATCACAATTAAGGAGAACAACCCTGCCATTGTCAACAAGATTGTCAAGTTCACCAACTCTACAAATGAAAAGTTGTTTATAGTTGGTGCAAGAATTGAAAACAACGTATTTGACGTTGCCAAAATCAACCAGTTCAAGGATCTTCCAACCTTGGAACAATTGCATGCACAACTGGCTGGAATGCTCACGTTGCTCAGTGGTGCAGGCTTGGTCCAAGTACTTCAAAGTGCATCTCAGCATTTGTATCTAACGTTAGATTCTCACAAGAAGAACATTGACCCTTCAGAGAAGAAAGACTCTCAAGAGTAGAGAATGAGGGAATGTTCCTTGTTGTAAATAGCTCAATAAAACCCCATACTGTGTGTATATATATCACAAGGCATACATTTGTAGAGTCCTACGGTGAAATCAGAAAACAAAGCCATTATATATATACAGGAATGTACGTCTATCTCTCTAAGAGGAAAGCTATCTACTTTGAAAACATTTTGTCAAAAGCTGGAATCAAAGATTGGGCCAAGGCGAATGAGAACACCAACTTTGGACCAGTGGTCAAAAGCTTTGGAGTCAAACCTTTGAAGAAAGCAGTGATACCTTCATTCTTTGCCATGTTCTTCAAAATGGTGAATCCAGATTCTGGGTTTTCAAAGTTTCTGTTTTGGATTCTGGTCTTGATGACATCCAATGGAGCAGAGACAATCAAGGAAGCAGAGGCACCAACGATTGAAGAGACAAAGTTCTGAGACCAAGTGGCCTGGGAGTAATCCTTCAAACCTAGAATGTATTCCTTAGCAAAGGCATTACCACCAAAGAGAGCAAAGGAACCTGGAGCGTTTCTTGCAGCGGTCCAGCCCCAGCCTCTATACAATCCAAATCCTTCGTCCTTAATGATCTTCAAGAATCCACGACCTCTAAAGGATTCTGGGTTTGTCTGTCTCTTAATCTTCAAAACATCCAATGGTAAGAGCACAACCTCACCAATACCGATAAGAGAACCCGCAGTAGCAGACATCAAGGCCTTACCGGTCTTTGGACCAAACGCATCGTCAAATGATGGTTTGAAGTTCTTTGTCAAGAACTCATTGGCAAAAGGTTGACCACCGTACTTGTAAACTCTTTGAAGAATCTTATACACGGCAGCGTAACCCAAGCCCGGGAAAAGGGTAAAGATTCTCTTACCAAAAGCCTCGGCTGCGTGCTCTCTAAAGATCACAGAGTTGAGCTGAGTCAGGTTTGTAACCTTCGTGGAGTTGGACATGAGTCTCTTGGAAATGGTGTCAACTGGGTGGAAGACACCAATTTCACAGATACCTGCAGATGCAGAGCCCAACACTCTAGCAATACCAGATTGCTTCTTATCAGCTGTAGATGAGGCCATTTTGGAGTTAAACCTTTACCGATGGGAGAAGTAGTCGAGCGATTCAGAGAGGAAGGGAAAAATTTTCGGTCTTTGGATGTTGTTCTTGTTTTTTTTCCTTTGTCCAAAACCATAAAACCCGGGACAAAGACTTCCCTGACAAGAGAAAATTTTGTCCAAGGACGAATTTAGTCCATTTTGAGCGGTGGGAAATAAGGCAGAGAAGACGGAGACTAAAAGAGCCAATTCGGATGAATCTTCAAGTGCGTTTTTTGGTTTTTCAGCAGTTTTCCATTGTCCGGGAAAATTACTAATTTGTTGTCCCAAATGGGGACTCGTATCGGGTGGCCAAACAACGCTGTTTTGACCTTGAACAGAAAGACTTGTTTTGCCTGGACTATTCGACTGCGCTGTTATGGTGAGCTGCTCTAGAGAGTTTACCCCCATTGGCCTGTTCTATAGGAAACTATCTCTACCGTAGAATATTTATAATGTGGACTAATTCCATGGAGCTTCTCCAACGGGGACTATTTCCAATGGGACTATCCTCATTGAGCTGTCCCTTAATGGTTGTTCCTATAAGAAACTTTCAACGGGGCTGTTTGAAGTGCTCGCCTGAGTTGTTGTGGTGGGTAAAACTCGCGTAAGCAGCTTTAAAGGTAGCGAATTTCAGTACGCCAGGCGGTGGTCAATTGCCCTCTTTTCACTCAGAGACTGGCACTTCCTGCGTGTGTGTACGGGTAAAAAAAACCCTGAACAGCAACAATTTTACACCAAAACTCCTTTGTTACCCCCTTTAGACTCTCTCTTTCCTTGTTTTTCTCTCCATACAGGTTCAAACACAGTTAACTACTTGTTGAAGGATTGATACAATGAGTAACGAAACTGCGCAACCACCAGTTCAGTCTGATGGTGAGAAAACAACTCCTTCCGCCTCTGCTTCCCCAGTGAAACCGACAACTTTGGTTGAAAGATTGCAGACTTTAGTTCTTGTAAGTTCTAGCGTGTTTGTTTCTTTTTTTTAGTTGTCCCCCCATAGTTGTCATATTTTCAAAGCAAAACCAAGTACTAACAGTCAAGCGACTATAGGATTCTCCAATCAGATCAGCTTGGTTTTTAAGTAACCTGGTTGTTGTGACCAACTCACTCCTCTACTTGATCTTCTTACGCTATTTTGGATTTTTCAAGTCGGTCTGGTACAGATCTGCCTTTATCGGCGCCATTGGAACTTTTGGAATCGTTGTCTATCAAAGTTTCTTTGCCAACAAGAAATCGACATCGTTAAGTGTTCGTCAGTTGTTATCTGATGATAACGTTCACTATCTCTACGATGCCCTGATTTGGTTGTTCTTACCTACTCATTTCCTCGCATTGATCCCATTCTTGAGCTTCTCCTTCTTCCACGTTCTAAACTTCACCAGTTCTGATCTCTTGCCTGCTCTGAAGTTAGCCCCAGGTTTGGCCACAAAGATTCAAAACTTTTCCCAACAATACCACGAGTTCTCGAGAAGAGAAGCCGCAGCTGCTGAGCTCTTGTTGTTGATTCAATTGGTATTCCAAGCTCTGTTCTTCCGTAAGTGGTCGTGGATCACGTTGATTGCATATGCAATCTTCATTAAGGTTAAGAGTGAGGGCTCAGTATTTACAAGACACGTCTTGAAGACATGGGAAGTTAGAATTGATGGTTTGGTTAGTAACCAACAGGTTCCTCCTGCGGTTAAACAACAATGGAACAACTTCAAGAGACTTTTCAAGACTTTGGACAACTACAGTCTCATTCACAAGGTTGAGGGAACAACAGAAACAGAAAAGAAGTCTGAGTGAAAACATATGTACAGTACATATATATATATATATCATCTTTCATTCAACAGCAACAATAGCTTTCCCAGCTCAACTTCAAAACCAACACTCTGTATTTTCGGACCCCTAATATTGATCTGACTATATCGTGCTAAACTTTAGCTCTGTCGTCCTAGGAGTCACGTGAGCTAAAAATAGCGATTATATAATTGCTTAGTCATATTGTTTTTATTTTCAAGATCTTTTCATTTTTTGCCCACTTTCTTCCAGTGCGATGACGTTTTCTTAGCGATGGAATTTTCTAGAAGGTTGATTTTGTGGTTTTTTTTCAGAAGAAAAAAAAAGTGCCATTGATGAATGGCCGATCGTCGACGTTAAGCGGATTTCCTTCAGTTTATAAAAAGAAGCCCAAATTTCCAAAAGAATCCTGTCTTCCCTTTAAACCATCACCAATTGCTAATTGCTAACAACAAATAAAAAAAAATGAGTAAAGCTGTTGGGTAAGTCATCCTCCTGTTCTCTCCATCTTTGTCGATGCCCTAAGGCCCACGGCTGTTGGATTAAACTTTAACCTTGAATGTCAACTAACTAATACACTTTGATGTGAAGTATTGATTTGGGTACTACTTACTCCTGTGTTGCACACTTTGCCAATGATCGTGTTGAGATCATTGCTAACGATCAAGGTAACAGAACCACTCCTTCCTTTGTCGCCTTCACCGACACTGAGAGATTGATTGGTGATGCCGCTAAGAACCAAGCTGCTATGAACCCAGCAAACACCGTCTTTGACGCTAAGCGTTTGATTGGTAGAAAGTTTGACGATGCAGAGGTCCAAACTGATATCAAGCACTTCCCATTCAAGGTTATCAACGATGGTGGTAAGCCAAAGATCCAAGTTGAATTCAAAGGTGAGACCAAGGTTTTCACCCCAGAAGAGATCTCCTCCATGGTTTTGCTTAAGATGAAGGAAACCGCTGAGGGTTTCTTGGGTACTGAGGTTAAGGATGCCGTTGTCACCGTTCCAGCTTACTTCAACGATTCTCAAAGACAAGCTACAAAGGATGCTGGTTTGATTTCTGGTTTGAACATCTTGCGTATCATCAACGAGCCAACCGCTGCTGCCATTGCTTACGGTTTGGACAAGAAGACTGAAGGTGAGAAGAACGTTTTGATCTTTGACTTGGGTGGTGGTACTTTCGATGTCTCCCTCTTGGCTATTGAAGATGGTATCTTCGAAGTCAAGGCCACCGCTGGTGATACTCACTTGGGTGGTGAAGATTTCGACAACAAGCTTGTTGACCACTTGGTTGCCGAGTTCAAGAGAAAGAACAAAAAGGACTTGACCACCAACCAAAGATCTTTGAGAAGATTGAGAACTGCTGCTGAGAGAGCTAAGAGAACCTTGTCTTCTTCTGCTCAAGCTTCTATTGAGATTGATTCCTTGTACGAAGGTATTGACTTCTACACCTCTATCACCAGAGCTAGATTCGAAGAGCTTTGTGCTTCTATGTTCAGATCCACTTTGGAGCCAGTTGAGAAGGTTTTGAGAGATGCCGGTTTGGATAAGTCCCAAGTTCACGAGATTGTCCTTGTCGGTGGTTCTACCAGAATTCCAAAGGTTCAAAAGCTCGTCTCTGAGTTCTTCAACGGTAAGGAGCCAAACAGATCCATCAACCCAGATGAGGCTGTTGCTTACGGTGCTGCTGTCCAAGCTGCTATCTTGACCGGTGACCAATCTTCCAAGACTCAAGACTTGTTGCTTTTGGATGTTGCTCCATTGTCCCTTGGTATTGAGACCGCTGGTGGTGTCATGACCAAGTTGATTCCAAGAAACTCCACCATTCCAACTAAGAAGTCTGAGACTTTCTCCACCTACGCTGACAACCAACCAGGTGTCTTGATTCAAGTGTTTGAAGGTGAAAGAGCTAGAACAAAAGACAACAACTTGTTGGGTAAGTTTGAGCTTTCCGGTATTCCACCTGCACCAAGAGGTGTTCCACAAATTGAGGTTACCTTTGACGTTGATGCCAACGGTATCTTGAACGTTTCCGCTGTCGAGAAGGGTACTGGTAAGTCCAACAAGATCACCATCACCAACGACAAGGGTAGATTGTCCAAGGAGGATATTGAGAGAATGGTTTCTGAAGCCGAGAAGTACAAGGAGGAGGATGAGAAGGAGGCTGCCAGAATCGCCGCTAAGAACGGTTTGGAGTCTTACTCTTACTCTTTGAAGAACACCACCTCCGAGGAGGCTTTCACCTCTAAGGTTTCTGAGGATGACAAGGCTGCTTTGACCAAGGCCATTGATGAGACCATCACTTGGTTGGATGAGAACCAAGCTGCTTCCACTGAGGAGTACGCTGACAAGCAAAAGGAGTTGGAGTCTGTTGCTAACCCAATCTTGACCAAGTTCTACCAAGAGAACGGTGGTGCCCCAGGTGCTGCTCCAGGTGGTTTCCCAGGTGGTGCTGCTCCAGCCCCAGAGAACGAGGGTCCAACTGTTGAAGAGGTTGATTAATCTCAATAACAGACTTCTCAACCTGTTATATATGATACTTTTTTATGTCCACGACTGATAGAGTTACAACGTGATAGAAAGAGTTTTAATAATGATGTTTAGTTTATTTTTTTTTTCTTTGATTGACGAAGTAGCCACGGAATACATAAAGCTAATAACCGTATTGCCAAATATCCTTTTGATAACCTTCCGTTACGTTGGTATCTTCGCCATAGAGCCTTTGCCATTCTGTGAAACCACCTCTCAGCACCCATACGTTCTTATCATCTAAGAAACCCTGTTCCACTGAGCGTAGAAATCTCATCGCAGCTGAGGGGCCTCTTTGTTGTGACAGTGCACAATGGAAGACGATATCATCAGCATTCTTAACCTGTTCTATAAGAGCATCCATATCTGATGCCAATGATGACGTTGGGAAGTGTAGAGATCCCCTTATGTGTCCCTAAGAGATATTGATCCTGTCAGTCTTTGTTCTTTTTCATTGGCTAATATGATAGAGTACTCACACCAACGTGATCGGAATCACGAACATCAACGACTTTAAAGGAACCATTTCCTGTAGATGAGCCGGACGTGAACCAGCTCTTGAGGACCTCTGGTTCGATATACTTAATGCTGGTGATTGAATAGCTCATTTCCGTAGATGATCTCTTTGGTATACCAATCGGTTTAAACAAATTCAACAGCAAGTTTGTTGAAGCTCATCGGTTCAAGTTTTTCTTCCCGGTCGTTCTCCTCCGCTTTGACAGGAAACTACAGCAAGAATTCAGGGCTTGATTGGATCAAGTTGATGGAGCTACTGGTGCACGATTAAGACCACGATCCATGACTATGACTAAGACTATGACTGCCACGACTACGACTATGACTACACAGAGATAATAGTGCAAGTTAAATAAAGATTTAGTTCTAGGATAAATCACTTCGAATTACGGGAAACCAAAGTCTTTGTATCTTCCTCCTCTTCCTCCTCTTCATGATCTGCCTCGTTCTCTTCATCGTTCGCTGCCTCATTCTCATCACCATTCACCTCGCCAACGTCATTGGACTTGGCCTTCTTTGCACTCTTGCCGGAACTTGATAGTTCGCTGTCCGTCTTGTTCATCCAATCCTTGAAATTCCCCAATAACGAACTGGAACTCTGATGAGAATGCGATCTCCTTCTTCTAGATGTCTTATCCTCTCTATCACCAGTGAAATTTGCTGCAAACTCAGAAGCTGGACTGGAAGATTTCTTGCCCTTGTTCTTATGGTGCTTCTTATCCTTCTGTTCGGATTTGTTCAACAAATACTCACGAACTTCAAAATACAAATCCCGGGAAGCGTTGTTGAAGTTTTCATTGGTTTTCTTCCAATACGATCTAAAATCGTTGATATGCTTCTTGAATTCCAATTCGTTCTTCTTGAACCAAGAAACGTTCAACTCTTGTCTGGTGGCACCTCTAGCAAAATTACGCATTAGGTACTTGTCGTAATCTCTGATGATCTTCGTAATGATATCAGAGGTTGATATTCCCTCGGTTCTTTGTGTGGTCAAGAACATTCCCTTCTCCTTAATCGGCTTATAGATATCATCCGACCCATCTGAAACGTACGGTAAGTCGTCGTGGGCAACGTAATCAATCTTATGTTCCTTCAAAAACTCTGGAGTGACACACCATGGCGCGTTTGGAATCACCTCATCAACCCATCTACAATGCTTTAACGTCTCACAACGTTGATAGTCGCTCAAAACTGTGAGTCCCTTCTTCTTGTGGGTCTCAAAGTCGGATGGAATACCACAGATGAGGGTAACGTTGGGCAATGCCTTCTTGGCCTGTTCCAGCTGTCTCATGTGTCCCAAGTGGAAAAGGTCAAAAACACCATCGGCATAGATTCTCACAGGACGATCCTTCGGAGGCAAGTTGAATCTAAACCCGGTAGGTCTGAACTTCTTATACTCATCGGGCAATTCACTATCATACTTCTGCTCTTGTTCGAGGAACTTCTGTCTCTCAACAGCTTTGGCAGTCTTGCTTCTCTTGGAAAAATGCTGGTCAGCCTGTTCATCATGAGTGGAGTCGTCGGAGGTGTTGTTCACAACAGACGTGCTGTTCTCATCGCCATCAGAGTCGTAAGGTCTCTTACGGTTGAAAAGAGTGGACAATGAGGCTGTTCTTAACAACCCGGTGAAGTTGCTACCCTTGCCAGGTGTCCCACTTGGGGTGTTGCTGTTCTCCCGTGACATTCGTGGGAAAAAACTCTCTCTTTCTTTTCAAAGGCTTGTAAAGGAAACAAAGGAAAGAGCACGCTGATGAACTTAACCAGCACAGACTCTGCACAATTCAATTGAACCTTTTTCTGTTCGCTTGTTACTGCAGAAACCTCTTGTCGATTAAACGAAGATGTTGATGGTTTGTCGTAGTAATTCGCTGCTATTGCTACAAGTTTTTCACGTGCCAAAGTTGCGCCATGTGCGACACCGCAAAAAAATCCGCGGAAAATTTCTCCGTTGGGTGTTCCGAGGGTTGGTATCACGTGATTCACTTGGTAGTATGACTTTCTTCTTTTATGAAGTTGGCATTTAGATGATATTGCCGGTAGAATACATTGTGTCAATCTACTAGGAGTTGTATTCTTATGTTGCTGGGATGTAGTGTTTTGGTTGTTCTTTTGGTAACAGGTGCTGTAATGTTGAGCAGTTCTGCTCTAAGAGTACCAGAAGAGCAAGAGGATTTCGGTTAAGCAGGTCAATGACTATATGACAGATGCTCATCCCTAGTTTAATTCATCAGACGCATTATATAGGAGATATTCACGTGATTGTTATCCAGGTATCCAATCTCGAAGTGCTTTATCGTGAAAACTAGAAGCGATCAGTTCTTTCCATATACAAAGATATGTGACGAATTACACCCGTACACCTCTCTTGTCAGGGTCCTAAGTATCAATAATTGTCATTACTATAGGTATTAGCGTCTCTGTTTCTCTCAGATGACCAGTATATGTTCTATAATCATTAGATTGGTTAGGTTATAACGTTATTCGTGTACAATCTTCCTTTGAAGTTATTCAATTCATGGCTAAATATGCACCTCTGTTTTGGTCAATACAAATCTTATGGACAGATATAAACACATTAAAATATAACTATATCCCACATTATATAGATTATCCATATTTTTAATCGACAAAGCGTGATACATGTCATACTATCAGCGTTATCAATTTGTTGTATGTCGCAGAGTTCAGTTGGTATTTAATTATAAGGATTAAGTGAACAAATGGAGTTTAAAGTCCATCTTCGTCGAGCATTGCGTGTCTCTGCAGCAATGGTGATCGACTGTTGTATTATCTACTATTGGACCACACTCCAACGTTAACAAAAGGCTTCTATCAGCAAGTTCACACGGGCACTTGTTCAATGTATAATACAGGATTGAGCACATTCATTGGCACCCCTGGGTGTCATCAGCTCATAAATGCAAGGTGTTTCTTGGAAAATTTCACGGGTAAACAACATCTGTTAGAACCCAAAGGTGTTTTTACAAACCTTAACATGTCAGAAACAAACAGAGGCTTAGTCCTGAAATATCTCCAATTGCCATATCATTGCTATTTTTGTTTCAACTGAAAGGATTTAACAGCAGTGGAGGTCTTGGAACCTACTGGTGTGTATACGCAAACGACAGTGCCATCACGTTACAGTTAGGTTGGTCCTTTTTTTTTGCCATTTAATAGATGAGATGGCTTATGAATGACAGAAACCCCCCCCAAAAAGAGACTGGGTGGTTTGTCGTTTCAGGATACAACCACTGCGTGCGTCTACACCTCAGGCATGGCTCATCCGCTTTAGGATCATCGCAATTTGGACAGCTTTGAAAGGAAGTTTCATGTTATGGAAAGTGGGTGACAGCCCCAAAAAAGAGGAACAACAAGATGTAAAAAGAAGGTGTGCATAGGGGTTTAAGTCTCAAAGCAGATCTCTACATGTGTTTGTTCTTTGCTTGTTTTGGTTAATTGTAAACACCAAGTTATGAAAACGGTACACTTTTGGACGCGTCACGCGTACTTTGCTCAAAGAGAGAGAACAAAAAGAAACACGAAAAACACACGAAACACGTAACACGAAACACGCCACGGGAAAAAGACGCGTAACAACCGTAAGACGAACGTCAATATCACACTCTCCCATCCCTTGGTGTGTGCTCTAGAGTGTGATCTACACACAAAAGCCCAGGTAATCTTTCACGCAGAAGACATCACCAGTATATAACGTTGTAGATCAATTTCTTAACACAACATCTTGAGGAAATTGCACCTTGCAAATCAAAATAGAACCCGGCGCAACGCTCCATATGAACCGAACACACACTTTACAAAGAGCAGCGGATCTGCCCAAGGCGCGTCCAGCGTACAGTGGCTTATAAACCCAAACGCGTACGTATATCCCAAAGTGGCCAATTACAGCTATGGCACCCGGCGCGAGGTGGCGAAAGAGCAAACGCGAAACGGACGCGAAACAACGCGTGATGAGATAATCTCTTACAAATGCGTAAACAAACGAAAAGGGCGAACACCCATCACGCGCCGCCTATATAAAGGGCAGCCTAAGTCTTCCCTCGAGAAAAATTTTTTTCGTCAATCTCTTAGATAATAGATCATCACGAGAAGAAAGCCTTGTTAACTACAAGTGATTATACACATATACACACACAGAATGCCAATTGAAGAGACTCCATCAAAAGTTGCCGCTAAGCACCTTGCCACCCTTGATCTCGACTCCAAGAAGGACTTGAGATCTGAGCTTGAGGCTGCTGCTGCCAAAAAGGAAGGTATTGTCGAGTCAGCAAAGATGGATAACAGCTCTGAGTCTGCTGAATCTGTGCACAAGGCCTTCTTGGCCCAACACAAGGTGCATCGTCACAACTTGAAGGAGATGGAGAAGGGCGAGCCTTTGTTAGTTGAAAACAAGCGTCGTTTCGTCCTCTTCCCTATTAAGTACCATGAGATTTGGCAAGCGTATAAGAAGGCTGAGGCTTCCTTCTGGACTGCCGAGGAGATTGATTTATCAAAGGATTTGCACGACTGGAACAACAGATTGAACGAGAACGAGCGTTTCTTCATCTCAAGAGTGCTGGCCTTTTTTGCCGCTTCTGACGGTATCGTCAACGAGAACTTGGTTGAAAACTTCTCTGCAGAGGTTCAAATCCCAGAGGCTAAGTGCTTCTATGGGTTCCAGATCATGATGGAGAACATCCACTCTGAGACTTACTCCTTGTTGATCGACACCTACATCAAGGACCCAAAGGAGGCTGAGTTCTTGTTCAACGCCATTGAAACCATCCCATGTATCAAGAAGAAGGCTGATTGGGCTTTGAGATGGATTGCCGATGATGACGCCCTATTTGCAGAGAGACTCGTTGCTTTTGCTGCTGTTGAAGGTATCTTCTTCTCCGGTTCATTCGCCTCCATCTTTTGGTTGAAGAAGAGAGGTTTGATGCCAGGTTTGACCTTCTCTAACGAGTTGATTTGCCGTGACGAAGGTTTACACACCGATTTCGCTTGTTTGTTGTTTGCCCACTTGAAGAACAAGCCAGCACCAGAGATTGTTGAGAGAATCATCACCGAAGCTGTCGAGATTGAATCAGAGTACTTTACAGATGCTCTTCCAGCGTCTCTCTTGGGTATGAACTGTAAGTTGATGTGTCAATACGTTAGATTCTGTGCTGATAGATTGCTCGTTGCACTTGGTAACAAGAAGTTCTACAACGATACAAACCCATTCGACTTTATGGAGAACATCTCCCTTGCTGGTAAGACAAACTTCTTCGAGAAGAGAGTCTCTGATTACCAAAAGGCTGGTGTCATGGCTTCAACTACCAAGACCGAGACTGACGGTGATGCCTTTGCATTTGATGAGGACTTCTAAGTTCCGCAGAGGAGAGCACACAAACAACAAGAACCCTGGTGGCTATATAATGATCATCCTAATGACTTTCAATTTGTATACTAATTAATAACATACTTTGTTCTATCCATCATAGAAGTATAATCTTTCAAAAGAGAAACCAACATAAGTATATGCGTTTTATTGAGAACAGATGACTTATAAAAAAAAGAGATTTAATACAACTAAAACATCTAACGACCAAGGAAACCCTTCTTGGCCTTCTGCGTTGGAAGAGGTTGAGGATCGTGCATCGTTGGGTTCAAACGAGCGGTTTGTAATTGTTTCTTCTTCTCTTCCAATTGTTTCACTTGTTTCAACAACTTCTCTTTAACTTCTTTATGTCTTGAGAATAACTCAGCTTCGGACTTTTGTAGCTTCTTCTCCTTTTCTGCAACCTTCTGTTGGAAGATTTGCTTCATCTCAGCTTCGAGTTTGGCCAGTTTGGCCTCGTGTAATGCCTTTTCTTCTTGTTGCTTAACAGTTGGATCAAACTCTCTAAAGACAGAATCATCCTGTGTGATTCCCAATCTTAAGAGTTTCTCTGATCTGTAATTCTCATACAACACGTTGGATGTCTTTTCACGAAGCTCCTCCATAAAGTTTCTTATAACTAATTGACGCAATTTCACGAAATCATTATGGTCTTCGTTGTCAACCTCAATGACACCCCATGGGTATTGACGACCTCTAACTGTACGACCATCTGGGGTTTGAATTTCTGTTGTAGAACCAACAATGGCAAACGGTAATCTTGAAATGAGATTGTGGTAAGCCTGCGTGGTTTCTTCATCATCGTCATTGTACAACTTTGGTTCAAAGATTTCTATTCCTTGAAATTTGATGTCATCATTAATCCTTTGTTTGAACTCTTCAACTTCTTGTTCTGTCAGAGTATCTGACTTGGCAATAACAGGGATAATGTTCACTTTTTTGTGAATCGCTTTCAAAAACTCGATATCCAAAGGTTTCAAAGAATGACCGGTTGGTTCAATAAAGTATAAACAAGCGTGAATTCTTGAATCGATGTAACCAGATCTACTCACTTTGTTCTCATACTCCAAATAGGAGTCAAATCTTGAGTTGACCTCATCGATAATTGGTTGCCATGCTTGTGTGTTGTTGATCTGTTCTCCAAACCCTGGGGTGTTGACCACCGTCAAGTGCAACTTAACACCATTCTCTTCAATGTCGGATTCAACGGTATGTATGGTTACAGACGAAGGTCTTTCCTCTGCAGGATCTCTTGGTGGCTGTGGTCCGATCAATTCTCTGTTGAACAAAGTATTGATCAAAGTTGATTTACCCAAGCCTGCTTCACCAACAACCAACAAGTTCAAGTTGAATCCATTTCTGATGGACTTTCTATGCCATTGCTTTGGCAAGTTGGCAAATCCAACATACCCGTTCAACTTTCTTTTGATGATCTTAACGTCTGGGATGATGTTGACTTGCGACTTTGCTGCCGTGGAGCCAACGCCTCCGGAAGAAGAAGAGAAGGCACCAGTTGTACCGTGTTCACTCTTCAGCGGTGATGTCACAACGTCTCCATCTTCGTCATATTCGCCTTTAATGATACCTGTACCGATATGAGATGGTGTTACCCCATTGTCATTGGTATTGGCGGTAGATGTAGTAGCCGCTGAGCCCTGTTGCTGTTGCTGATGTTGTTCTTCCCCTTCTTCAATTTTCACACCGTTCGTGTTGGAATTCACCGCCGCTGGAGGATCAACCAAAGATGAAACTTTGTACATTGAATTGCTTGCTGACATCGCTTTCCCTTTGTTTCTTTCACGACAATAGAATAGCTTAACCGCCCAAGTGTTGATGTTTCCTCCCTTTTTTGTGTGGTTGTTCTATGGTTTTCAGTTGATTTCTTCTTCGTTGTTTTTGTGGTCGATTTTTTGGTGGGCTTTTGTGGAATTTTCGCTCGGCTTCACGCACACCACATACAAAAAAACAAACCACAAAAACAAAGGGGAAGGAAAGAAAATACGCGTCTGAAACAAGCGGCCGAAACAGGAAATAGATACGGTGCTCATAACTAATTTTCGTGAAGGCCGGGTAAGTTAACTATTGGGTCACTTTCACCTGGTCAATATTGAAGCTTGAGGAAGGATGTTTGAATACAGGACATATGTCTTTGGGCTAGAAAAGTTGGACAGCCAAGTATTCGAAGAATGTCTTACTCTACAGAGGTCAAGAAGTTGCTGGAAGAAGGTGCGAAGAGTTACGCAAGCAAGAACTTTGAAGTTGCCATTGAGAACTACGGAGAAGCGTGTCAGCTCTATTCGCAAGATCACGATGGTGAAGAGGACCCAGATCTTCTCTTGTTGTATGGAAAGGCTCTCTTCCAACTGGCGCAGTCGAGAAATGGGTTGTTTGGAGGCAACCCTGATGCAACAGATGACAAGGAGGGAGAAGCTGGGACAGATGCCGATGCAAAGCCATCGAATGCCAATGGGATGTTCACATTTAGCGAAGATGTTCCATTAGCAGAGGAGGAGGATGAAGATGAAAATTCGGCTAAAGAAGAAGAAGAGAAACAAGACGAGGAAGAGGATGAAGAGGAAGAAGGTGCAAAAGACGAAAAGAAAGATACTAATGAAGAGGAAGAAGAGCAATCAGATTTTGAAGTTGCATGGGAGATCTTGGACCTTGCTCGTGCACTTTTTGAATCCCAGATTGGAGGAATGACTAATGATATTCCTCAAGACGCTAATAAATCCCAAGATCCTGTGATACAAACAAAGCTGAAACTCTCGGAGATTTACGACCTGCTTGGTGAAATCTCCCTGGAAACTGAAAACTTCAAACAGGCTTCTGACGATTTCGAATCCCTACTCAAAGTTAGAGAGTCGTTGTACCAGTTCAATTCAAACATGATAAGTGAAGCCCATTACAAGCTATCGTTGGCCCTGGAGTTCAACTTTGATGATAAAGAATCAAAGGACAAGGCGATTACCCATCTGAAACTTTCCATCGAATCTATAAAGCAAAATACGGAAAATGCAGAAAAGAATAAAGACGTTGTTAAAGATTTGGAGATCAGGCTGGAGGATTTACAAAAAGATCCAAACGAAATCTTTAACCAGCAAAAGCAAGAAATTATGAAGGGTATTCTCGGTGAAGCTGTTAGTTCTCCACAGACAAAGAAACCAACATCTACCCAACCTGTCAACGATTTGACCTCAATGGTTAAAAAAAGAAAAATCAAACCTGGAAAGACTGATGTTAATAAAAAGACCAAGCAATAGTTTCAGTCCTTTAAGTCCTTTGTCAATACAGGTTTTTTGTACTGTTTGTCGATGTTTTTCAAGTCAAGCCGTACTGAGTTGAACCCAAACTCCTCCTTATAATCAAATATTATCCCATCTTTTGAATGATCCCTCTCGTCCTCTTTAACTTGTTCCCAAATTTCATCCATTTCCAAATCTTCCTCTACGAGAAATGATCGTCTTATCATATCTGAGAAATCCCTATAATTCCCAGGCTTGATATACTGATAATGTGCAAACTCTTTGAAATAATCACCATCAACGTACTCATCCTTTGGATCAAAAAACTTTGGAAACTGCTTCTCCTCCTTTGTTGGGAGATCCAACTTTGCATACACAACTTTCTCAAGGTATAAAGCAACAAATATTGACTTCTTCTTGGCTCTTTTCAAGATCCAGTAAATCTTCCACTTGTATCTGTAGAGTAAATCCTTAACGATCCATAACAATTGATTGAGCTTTTTGATAATGAGGAAGAGCACTTGGATGGCTTTGATAAGCGGCTTCTTGGTTTTGAAAGTCCAAACTATAACCTTTAGCTCAAAAACAATTTGATCCTTAATGAACATGATTATATGGCATATCTTCATCAAAATCTTTATGATCCATAAGACGGCCTTTGCCTCAGCCAACTCCACTAATTTTTTCAACTCAATCAAGTTCCAAATCACAAGTACTATAACTTTGACGATAATAAAAGGAATCTTCAAGAGTAGTTTGATCAATTGAGTATTGACCGTATCATCTGATTCGATAGAGGGCAAGTTATACCCCCAATCCACAGGCACTTCAAATTCAAAAGTCCCAAGGTCTGAGGAATAGAGTACCGCAAGATCGAGATCATCGACCAAGGGCACATTGGAAAGCTGTATACGATCTGTGTCATTGTCTCCAAAGCTCAAAGCATCAAGCTGAAAACTCTTGATATCCCAGTTCAAATCACCAATGTTCTCATACACTTCTTCATCTTCACCACCCGGATACACACAGTCATATACGGCTTCATAATCCTTTTCTGATAACTTCTCCAAAATTTCGAATATCCTCTTGCACTTCTTGTAAACCCTCCAAAGTTCTAACCAGACCTCTGCTACTAACTGCTCGCCCATCGCCTCCACAGGCATGGTCATACCATCTTGATAATAATAATCGGTGAACGTTATCTGTCCGTTTGGATCCCATCTTTTCAACTCTTCAACGTCACCAAATAGCTCAAACACGAGCTCCTCAACTGTCTCAAACTCACCAGCATAGAGATATTGCCCTGTAGCACTCTTCACTGCAGATTGTACCCCCAATACGTCTTTTCCTTGAAGCCTTGAAGGTAAAAGCGTGTTGAATATCGATTGATACCCAGAAAGAGAAGCTCCCACTGTACTCAAATAGATAACCGCCGCAGTCAATCTATCTACTTTCATCTCTTTCTCTGTAGGGTCCAACACCTCAGCAATACAATAAACAAATCATATTGTTTGTTTACATTTTAACTACCAGCGGCTAAGCCATTAGCCGCCAGGGTTCTTCAACTATGTTGTGTAACCACAGCGATCGCTGCTATAAGCTGACTTCAAATCTTTTCCAAACTCTTGAAAGCTGTTGATTCTCACACTGAATGAGATCAAACCGAATACACTAATATGATGGATGGCATAGTAAAATATCAATTCTTTTCTTGTTATATAGGGCACAGATCAGTGTTCATACTCAGTTGAAGCCATTTTCCTTTAGCCACTTGTTGAGAGATTGGTTGTCTCTAGCGACCCAGGAAGCCTTTGACTTGATAGTATCAAATGATTGAGCCAAAGATTGGTTGAATCCTTTGGTACTCTTGTTCTCAAAGAACTTCTTGATCTCTTGGATCTTTGCATCGGATGTGAAGCCAGATGTACCAATGGCAACGACAGATCCAAGCATGGACAAGCCAGGTGGTAGTCTCTTGGTGACTTCATCCCAGTTGACCTGGATCCATGTCCACAAGGCCTCAATACCGGCACGGTGTGTACGCAAACCTTGCATTGGAATGTAAATATCTTGGGATCTTACAGTACCATCGAACAAATAACCAAGGGTTCTCTGGATCAAAGCTTCATCTTCAAATCTACCCAAGGTTCTTAAAGCAGTGATCTTTTCGTCTGGAGAAACAGGGTTGCTGTAAATATTGAAGAGTTGCTCGTACTCAGTGGCACCACCCGTTCTAGCAACAACACCAAAGATGGATGCTCTCAAGTTAGGGTGGATGGCATCCTTATCACCAGCGATGTACTTGGCAAATGCCTCCTTGGAGAATTGTTCAACCTTCGTGTCCTTGGCAGAAGCCGCTGATCCAAACAACAAGGACTTCAATCTTTGATCTTGGAACGAGTCAGTGGCAGAGAACTCCCAACCGAGCTTGTTGGCCTTTTCAGCAACTAAAGAGTGAATAAACTTGGTGAGAGCATCACGTGTAGCCTTATCTTCGAAGATCCAGGCAGCCTTAATGGCAGAGACTCTTGTGATGATTTCATCCCAAACAACAAAACTTGTTTCTTGTTTCCAACCGTTAACCAAGTTCAACAAGTTATCGGTGGATTGATAACCTGCGGTAGCAAGTGCACCAGCATCTGCAACCAAACCTGCACGATCCTCAACAGACAATTTACCTTCAGAACCATCTTTGCCCAATTGAATCCAACGCTCTGCAGGGTATGAGGTTCTGTAGATACCAGCAGAGTCAGCGTTGAGCTTGTAGAATCCTAATCCTCCATCCAAAGTGAGAGATTTCTCTCTGGTGTTCAAGACAATGGACTCATCGGTACCCTTGTCAGTCTTTAAGCCAAGGAATACAGGGTAAATAACCTCATCTTCTTCAGGTTTGACATCACCTGTTGTCAAGTAACGGTTCTGCTTAACATGAATCTTGTTGTTGGCAGAATCCTCAGTAACGGTAATTACTGGGAAACCCATCTTCTTGGTCCAAACGTCCATAACTTCAACAACATTCTTACCAGAAGCTTCGGACAAAGCTTCCCACAAGTCAGATGTTTGTGTGTTACCGTATTTGTGCTTCTTCAAATAGTTTGAAACACCCTTGATGAAGACATCCTCGCCCAACCAACGAGAAATCATTTTCAAGAGTGAAGAACCCTTTGCATAAGAAATTGCGTCAAAGATCTGGTTAATCTCATCAGCCTTTTTAACTGGAACTTCAATCGGATGCGAGGATCTTAGAGCATCAAGAGCTAAAGCTTGTTGCAAGGAATCTGTCACATACTGTTCCCAAACTTTCCAATCTGGATAAAACTCGTTACAAGAGAACCATGACATCCAAGTGGCAAACCCTTCGTTCAACCACAAACCTTCCCACCAGTCCATGGTAACCAAGTTACCAAACCATTGATGAGCCAACTCATGTTGGACAACTTCTGCAACTCTTTGTTTTGTAACCAAGTTTGAGGTCTTCTCATCAAACAACAAGTCAACGACTCTATAGGTGATCAACCCCCAGTTTTCCATAGCACCTGCACTAAAATCAGCAATGGCAACATTATCAATCTTTGGCAATGGGTATTGAATACCAAATTTCTTTTCAAAGAAGTCCAAGGTCTTTGCAGTCAAATCGGCAGCAAATTGACCTTGTTGTTCCAAACCTGGAGTAGCATAGACCCTAACTGGGATTCTAAACTTGTCACTCTCAACATAACGCAAATCACCAACGATGAATGCCACCAAATAGGTTGACATCAATGGAGTGGTGTTGAAAGTAGTTGCCTTTCTACCATTCTCCAACTTGGTCACTTCTTTAACATCCATGTTGGAAAGTGCCGTTAAATGTTCATCAGAGACCAAGGTGACGTCAAATTCAGCTTTCAAGGAAGGTTCATCAAAAGAAGGGAATGCACGGCGACAATCAGTTGGCTCCATCTGAGTGGTTGCCAAGTATTTAGTCTTACCATTCTCTTCGTACGAAGATCTGTAAAAACCAGCCATGTTGTCGTTCAAGATACCAGTAAAGTCGACATCAACGGTGATGGTTGTGCCCTCTGCGAATTTCTCGTCAAACTTGAAGGTGACAGTCTGCTTCTCTTCATCAAATGAGATGTTCTTTGCAACGGAATCACCAACTTTAGCGGAGTGGATCTCGATATCAACAGAATTCAAAGTGATAAAGTCAGACTCCTCCTTAACCGCCAAGTCGATCTTGACGTTACCGCCGAATTTGAATGTCTCAAAGTTTGGATCCAAAGTCAACGAGTACTTCAATGGTTTAACGTTTGATGGAAGCACCTCACGGTCGGCTGGAACGCTGTTGGAATTGTTAGTAAAGCCTGTATAACATGGGCTGATGTCGCTTCAACATGGAGAGGGCAATGGGTGAAGACAGTATCAAAAGTACGGCATCAGAGTGGCGAGCCAACAAAGGCACAACAACAGAGGAGGAAACATCTCGATGGAAGGCGAATCGAGATCAATCGCGTATCCTTATAATGATGGACCGGATTCGGCGGTTTCATCAACTGTTTAATGCTCACAATTGCACACTATTTGACACAAACACAAATCATCATCACGACAAAATGGATGGGAACCACCACCCCTACAAAGGGGAGATAGCCTTCCCCTTTGAAGAGGGGGGGGGGGCAATTACTTACTTTGTGGCAAAGCCATGGTTGCGGAGACACATTGCTGAATGTTGATGAGCGAAACGGACCTGATTCAATTGATGTGTCCAAGTCGAAGCTCTGTAATTTATAGCTCTATTTGTCGTTGCAGAGAGTACAGATTTGAACGGCGTTGTTGCCGTTTTCAGCTGGGGGAAGATCCTCGTTAGCGCCTGTTTCCCGAACGTCATTTTTCACCAGCGAGCGGAGGGCTTTGTCTGTGTGTGTGTGTGTGTGTGTACGGGTTTTGTCGATCTTGACGGTGAAGAAGCACAGGAAGATGAGGAGGAAGCCGTTTGAAAAGATAAGAAGACGTTGGTAAAAAGGAACCTTTGAAGAGGTGGAGCCCTATGGTGCCTCTGTATGTACAATTGCTCCGATGGAAGTTCCAATTGAAAAGATCTTCTTTTCCTAACGATCTGCTGTAGCGAGTTCTGTTCACGTTTTTAGTGGAGAGACTTCTCCATGGGCTTTTTCAACATTCTCAGGCTTGCACTGGCAGATGCCGCGAAATGTGCTGTGTGTACCATTCGCACCGACGGTGGTGGTGGAGGGGGGATGGCGAAACAGTTTCCTCGGACTTTTTCAATGTTGGAAGGTGATCTAAACGTGCCACGAGGGATTGATTTAAACGGCATCTAGATAACGATAAACGAACACATGGTGAGTATGCGATGTGATGACTTCATCGTGCTGAGCTGGCTCGCGTGAATGTGGAGAACGAGTACTGACGACAGAGACAGGTGGCGACAGGTCTTCCTTCAGGATGGGTAATCAAGATGTCCCGCTCCCATAACAGGGAGTACTACTACAACCAATCTACAAAGGAATCCGTATGGGAACCACCCGCAGGCACGGATCTGGAGCAGCTGAACAAGTATCACAACCAGCCAACCAAGGTCAGAGCAAGCCATCTGCTGGTGAAGCACAGTGGGTCAAGACGCCCGGCGTCTTGGAAATCAGAACACATCACAAGATCAAAACAAGAGGCAATTGACATCCTGAAACAGCACCAGCAGAGAATACTCAACGGTGAGGCAACGCTGGAGCAGATTGCCACCACGGAATCGGACTGCTCAAGCGCAAAGAGAGGCGGTGACTTGGGATTCTTCGAAAGAGGTCAAATGCAACCTGCTTTCGAGGAAGCTGCATTTGGCTTAGACGTTGGTGAGATGAGTGACATTGTGGAGACAGACTCCGGTGTTCATTTAGTGCTGAGAACAGCTTAACCCGCCTCTGTATAGTAGAGTATGATGTAATCTCTTCCCAAACCCTATGTTACTGTAGTTACCAATATTCTCACCCCCGAGTCAACAATCACAACAACAAAACAAAACAAAACACAAAAAGGCATCACATGTGAAAAAATTAGCTGACTCGGGCACCTTTGCACAGATAACGCGGTGCAACGGAGATGATCGAGAAACGAGCACAGGGCAGAAAAAATTAAGCTGATTTCCCACCTTTTTTCCTCCTCCTCTTCAGTCAGGTTCTCTCCAAGCGAAGCACCAAAACCATACACAACAACTACAACTGCGCAAAAGGAAGCTTACAAGATGACTGCTGAGATCATTGACGGTAAGCTCATTGCTCAACAGATCCGTGAGCGTATCCATTCTGAAATTGCGGAGATTCAGTCAAAGGATGCCACTTTCACCCCAACGTTGTACATCATCCAGGTGGGCTCGAGACCTGACTCGAGTACCTATGTCAAGATGAAGCTGAAGGCTGCTGCAGAGGCTGGTATCAGTTGTGTTGCCAAGGTGATGCCGGAGGATGTGTCACAGGTTGAGCTGCTCAAGGAGATTACAAGTCTGAACAATGATGAGTCTGTCCATGGTATCTTGGTGCAATTGCCTTTGCCTGCGCACTTGGACGAGATCAAGATCACTGGTGCTGTCTCTGCTGATAAGGACGTTGACGGGTTTGGACCTTTCAACGTTGGCGAGCTGTACAAGAAGGGTGGTGAGCCAAACTTCATCCCATGTACCCCAAAGGGAATCATCGAACTCTTGAACAGATCTGATGTCACCATCGAGGGCTCCAATGCCGTTGTCCTGGGTAGATCCGAGATTGTCGGCTCCCCAGTTGCTACTCTGCTGAAGAACGCCAACGCTACTGTTACTACATTGCATTCCAAGTCCAAAAACATTGAAGAGCACTTGAAGAACGCTGATATCGTTGTTGCTGCTATTGGTCAGGCAAACTACATCAAGGGCGAATGGTTGAAACAGGGCGCCGTTGTCATCGACGTTGGTACCAACTTCATTGATGATGCAACAAAGAAGTCCGGCTCCAGAATGGTTGGTGACGTTGATTTCGAGACTGCTAAGGAAGTGGCTTCAAAGCTGACCCCAGTTCCAGGTGGTGTTGGCCCAATGACCGTGGCCATGTTGCTTGATAACGTCATTATTGCTGCAAAGAGATTCTACGAGGCTTCCAGAAAGTCTGACAACTTCTTTGACAACCCATTGCCATTGGAGTTGAAAAAACCTGTTCCATCAGATTACGAGATTTCAAGAGATCAAACTCCAAAGCACATCACAGAGGTAGCATCAGAAGCTGGTATCCTGCCTATTGAATTGGAGCCTTATGGTTCATCAAAGGCCAAGGTTAAATTGGAACTGCTTGATCGTTTGAAGAACAAAAAGAATGGTAAGTACATCTTGGTTACAGGTATTACACCAACACCATTGGGTGAAGGTAAGTCCACCACTACTGTCGGTCTTGCCCAGGCTCTTGGTGCTCATTTGCACAAGAGAGCTTTTGCAAACGTTAGACAGCCTTCTATGGGTCCAACTTTCGGTATCAAAGGTGGTGCTGCTGGTGGTGGTTATTCTCAAGTTATCCCAATGGACGAGTTCAACATGCACGTCACTGGTGATATTCATGCGATCTCCATGGCAAACAACTTGTTGGCCGCTGCTATCGACACAAGAATGTTCCATGAGTCCACGCAAAAGGACGCTGCTTTGTACAAGAGATTGGTGCCAGCTAAGAAGGGCGTTAGAACATTCACCAAGTCTATGCTTAGAAGATTGGAAAAGTTGGGTATTGACAAGACCAATCCAGATGATTTAACACCAGAGGAGATCACCCAATTTGCTAGATTGGACATTGATCCAGATACGATTACATGGAGAAGAGTTGTTGATATGAACGATAGATTCCTCCGTGGTATCACCATTGGTGAAGCACCAACTGAGCGTGGATTCACAAGAAAGACAGGATTCGATATCTCTGTTGCTTCCGAATGTATGGCCATTCTTGCTCTGTCGAACTCCCTCATGGACATGAGAGAGAGACTTGGTCGTATCGTTGTTGCATCCTCTAAAGCCGGTGTTCCAATCACATGTGAGGATATCGGTGCTGCCGGTGCGTTGACCGCATTGTTGAAAGATGCTATCAAGCCAAACATTATGCAAACTTTGGAAGGTACTCCAGTCTTCATCCATGCTGGTCCATTCGCCAACATCTCCATCGGTGCCAACTCTGTGTTGGCTGATAAGATGGCCTTGAAACTTGCCGGTACAAACCCATCCAACCCAGAGGACCAGGACGGTTACGTTGTCACTGAGGCAGGTTTCGACTTCACAATGGGTGGTGAGAGATTCATCAACATCAAGGCCAGATCCTCTGGTCTCATCCCAGACGTTGTCGTTATCGTTGCCACTGTTAGAGCACTGAAGGTTCACGGAGGTGGTGCTGAAGTCAAGGCCGGTGCTCCACTGCCACAGGAGTACTTGACAGAGAACTTGGAGTTCTTGGAGAAGGGCTGCGAAAACTTGAAGAAGCACATTTCTAACGCCAGAGAGTACGGTCTTCCAGTTGTCGTTGCTATCAACAAGATGAGCTCTGATACTGACCGTGAACACGAGGTGATTAGAAAGGCATCCCTTGAAGCTGGCGCCCTTGACGCCATTGTCTCTAACCACTGGGAAGAAGGTGGTAAAGGTGCCGTTGCTTTGGCTGAAGGTGTCATCAAGGCCTCAAATGCTCCAAAGGAGTTCAAGTTCCTCTACGACCTGGACCAATCTGTCGAGGCTAAGATTGATGCGATTGCTAAGAAGATGTACGGCGCCGGTGAGGTTGAGCTCCTGCCAGAGGCTGCTAAGAAGATTGAACTATACACTAAGCAAGGCTTTGACAAGCTGCCAATCTGTATTGCAAAGACCCAATACTCATTGTCTCATGACGCCAGCTTGAAAGGTGTTCCAACAGGCTTCAAGTTCCCAATCCGTGATGTCAGAGCATCAATTGGTGCCGGTTACCTCTACGCCCTTGCGGCTGAGATCCAAACCATCCCAGGTTTGCCAACACACTGTGGTTTCATGAACGTTGAAGTTACAGAGGATGGCGAGATTGAAGGTTTGTTCTAGTTCTCCCTCACAGTGTCTCGCCCTTTTGCTGTTTCTCTAATGCGTCCGAGATGAGCCTCTTTTCAACAATTGGGCCCATTCCACTTTAAACCACGGACGAATGATCCCAACGATATAGAAAGTTATATATTGCCATCCACAAGTAGAACGTTTTCAACAATTATTTAATGTCCAAATGATGTTCAGTTTAGGCGTACAGAGTAGTGAAACCCGTGAAAGCTGTGTAAACATTGTGCGGAGAACATTGCTTGGTGAGCCGAGGAGGAACCCCCAGGCCGTTCCGCCCCACCGGCCACCACCACCGAAACCCACAGGCCGGCGCTTGAAAGGGAAATTAGAGCAGGCCAGCCAGTGCGCAGGGAGGCCAGTGAGCAAATCACACCGCTTATTTACAGACGGGGAGAGGGGGGAGAGCTCTGCCTGCACAGCTTATAAAACAGGCCCTCTTTACAGGCTCTGCAATTTGTCACCGCGGTTATAATTAATTGGAGTATACGGAGTTGAAGAATTTATCTATTTAACCTCTGACTTTCTTTCCCCTGCGATGAGTATCACCAAGCTGCTGAGGTTGCCGAAGGTGAAGATGCCAGAGTTCCGCCCGAATTTAGAAGAGACGCTTAGGCTGAGAGAAGTCCAACGAGACGTTTTCACCAATACGCAGAGGCTGTACGTGCCGCCAGGCGCTCGTGGTGTGTTTGGGGGAACGTTGGCGTCGCAGTCGCTGTGGGCTGCTATGAAGACCGTTCCTGATAAGTTTGTACCACATTCGCTACACTCTTACTTCATCAGCGGTGGTGATGGGAAGAAGGACATTATGTACCACGTTGAGAGGTTGAGAGACGGTAAGAGCTTCATATCGCGGCAGGTGAAGGCTTATCAAGACGATACGCTGGTGTTTATCGAGACGATATCGTTTGCGAGAGTTCGAGACCAGGAGGAGCAGCAGAGGAAGAAGGAGCTGAAACATTCTGCGCCGATGCCAAACGTTGATTTCAACAAGTTTCTAGATCCGTTGGAATCGTTCAAGCGTGGTGTTGTGGATCCAGGAGTGGCTAAGGAGTCCGTATTGACAAAAGTTGGTGACTATTTCAACAGGTTCACAAAGGGTCCGCTGGAGTATAGATTCCCGCCAGATTTATGGGTCACGCTGGAGGAGCATCCGGATTTTGAAAAGGCTCCTAATGAGATTGACGTTGATTGGTTCATCAGACTTCGTAAGCCAGTTGTGGACCCGTTGTTCAATTACGTCGCAATGGCATATTACTCTGATTCGTTCCTGTTGTTAACCGTGGGCAAATTCCACAAGAGGCCAATGCACAGCACTAAATTCAGTGTCAGTTTGGACCATACGATCTATTTCCACAAACAACCAACCGTTAATGACTGGAACATGTACCATATTGAACATCCACAGTCTGGGGACTCTAGAAAGTTGCTGTATGCAGCTTTTTATGAAAAGGACACCAAGGAGTTGGTTGCCAGTGTTGTCCAGGAGGGGCTCGTTGTGATCGATGATGAACTTCTAAAGGCAAAGGCAAAGCTTTGAACGGGCAAGCATCGTTATTTCGCATGAGAGTCAAGCTTTTTTTTATATATTCATCAACACTTTGTAGCTGGTTCAATCGATGAGTTTTTCCAGTACCCCCGGCATCTATCACTTTTTTTCGGAAATAGGTTTGATATTGAAACAGCTTGCTGAATTTTTATTAAAAACGACATTGAAACAGAAGAAAGTTGTCTAATCTTCAAGCTCTGGTATAGGCTAGTGATATCTAATCCCGCCAGCCAGGTTGACATTCGGAGATGTACGCCCTAATACCGTTAAAACCGTCCCATAATCCCAGCTCGAGAAACTTCCGAGCAGTCCTTCTGCAAGCTTGCAAGTGATGTCATTTCCAAACTTCAAAAGTAAATGATCCCTAATTGCTACCAATATGCTCCAAAGATCATCGTTTGTTGACTATGATAGCCTATACTCGTTTACTGATCTCTTTTTGTCAGCATCTTTCGTTTTGCATGTGGCTGTGTGAACTAATAATATCTACCTCTCGGACCTCGGAACCTCGAATAGCTGAGACACCCCGAGCTGTGGATACATGACGTCTTGACATGCGGTAACAAATATGGATACCGTTCTTTTCAGGCCAATGTATATACTTGGACTCTTATTTGGACTGTGCTTGTTATTGGCAAGCAGGCTGTCAATGGATTGACTACACCGCCAAAATGTATAATTTACAAGCTTGTTGATGTTTATCCGATGGCCTCTACTATAAATTGTAGTTTGTCCTTGTTGCATCTCCTTTTGAGTCAAATTTGCAGCGGCGGACCGGCTGTGCAAAAAAGAGAATTCCGTTCAAAAGACTAGCGCTCCATACAAAACGCATAAGAGTGCTACTGAAGACTAACATACAATTGGCTCTGTCGATTTGCCCGACCTGGTTTACCTCAACTTGTTTGGTTTCTGACAAACACGATCCCCATATTACTTTGCAATTCTAAGCGACACGCCTATGTAAGATCAACTTCATCTTCCCAAGTGCCTTCGGATCTATAACTGTAAATACTTCACCGTACATGACGGCGTTAAACTTGATGGCATATGTAGTACGCCAATGAAAACATCCTGATAAGCAATTACAGTTACAGTGCTTGAAACTACACGCTGATTTGCAAAACCCTTGTGTCTCAAGGCTTCATAACAGACGAGTGTGTTTAACAACTACAATTGTAATGTTTAACTTCCTGGGCCAAGATAGAGACAGGAATAGCAGTATTAATTCTCGGGGACGGCTTTGATATCCTAAATGAGCGTGTAAATTCCCGAATCCCCGACGCAAAAATAAAGCTCTGGCCAATGGATTTCAGTAAAACACAATGTTCCCGTATGGCTGTGTGCCTTTACTAATAATATTTGTCCTGTATAGTTATTAAAGTGTTCTTAAAGTGGCGCTGATCTGAGCACGATTGTGCGACCGTCAACAGCGAGTGGGCGGACGAGACCATGTGCACTGCCCGGTGGGCTCCTGGTTAAATGAGACAAAGACTGTACCGGCCAAACAATCGGGGAAATGTCCAAATAATACAGTCACAGACACAATGGCAAGCTGGATCAGCACGTATATTCAACACACATCCAATTTATTTGAACAGCTTGAAGGCAAACTAAGCATTTCCTATCGAATCCGCAAATGCAAAGCAATACAAACAACCTTTGGCCGCTTGGTCTCGAAATTCGGTAACGTTTATGACATAAACTCGCCTTCTTCCTTCTCATCTCGGTGCTCGGTATTATGTTTTTCTCTTCAATTACCCGACAGCAAATATGTCCAGCAAGAAAACAGCGGATGCAAAGCGAAAGGGTAAAAAAGAAAACAACACAGGCGAGCAGGACGTAAACAAAGTCGGCGTATAGGAGGAATTTGAAGGAAGAAGTTACTTGGAGGGAATAAAAGCCCGTCAGAATCCCACTATTGCACAGTTTTTTGCCACTTTACGAGTAGAAGGTTCTCTTAATAACAACAGAACAAAAACGTTGCTACCAAACTCTACGCATTGGCTGGGACTTTACTATGAGTGATCATTCCGGCAACGACAACTCCAGTGTAGAGAGTGTTGACCGCTACCATGGTTTCGATTCTCAAGTTGAGGGTCAGATTCAGGACCTTGTGAGAACTCTGACTCAGAAGTCGGAGGTTGCGTTCCAAGAAGGTCAAAATGAGTCAGATGGTGAATCTGCATTATCAAGAGTGCTTTCGAGGGTGTCCACAATTGCTCCTGGTGTCAACCCTATGGGAGAAGACCTGGAGGAGCTGGACCCTCGTTTGAACCCTGATAACCCAGATTTCTCTTCACGGTACTGGATTAAGAACATTAGAGCGTTCATGGATAAAGATGAGGCACACTACCAGAACTATTCGTTTGGTATTGCCTACAAGAACCTCAGAGCCTCGGGTGAAGCAACTGACGCTGACTACCAAACCACAACTCTCAATGCTCCTTACAAGTTTGCAAAGATGTATGCTAAACAGTTTTTTACAACCAAGACTCAAAAGGCCAAGTCACAGTTCGATATCTTGAAGCCTATGGATGGACTGATTAAGCCCGGTGAAGTTGTTGTTGTTCTTGGTAGACCTGGCTCTGGTTGTACAACTCTGCTGAAGTCGATTGCTTCCAATACCCACGGTTTCGATATCGGCGAGGAATCAAAGATATCATACGATGGGCTTTCTCCAAATGAAATTAAAAAACACTTTAGAGGTGATGTTGTGTACAATGCTGAGTCTGATATCCATTTCCCTCATTTAACCGTTTGGCAGACGCTGTACACTGCAGCAAAGTTTAGAACTCCTCAAAACAGAATTCCAGGAATTTCCAGAGAGGACTTTGCTGCTGCCATGACAAACGTCTACATGGCCACTTACGGTTTGCTACATACCAAGAACACAAAGGTTGGTTCTGAACTGGTTCGTGGTGTCTCCGGTGGTGAGAGAAAGAGAGTCTCCATCGCTGAGGTGTCTCTTGCTGGTGCTAAGTTACAATGTTGGGATAATGCCACCAGAGGTTTGGATGCTGCGACAGCTCTGGAGTTCATCAGAGCCCTGAGAACATCTGCTGATGTTTTGGATACCACCGCTATCATTGCCATCTATCAATGTTCTCAAGATGCTTACGATTTGTTCGACAAGGTGTCAGTGTTGTACGATGGCTACCAGATCTTCTTCGGTAGAGCAGACGAGGCCAAGCAATATTTCCTCAAAATGGGCTGGGAATGTCCACAACGTCAAACCACAGCTGATTTCTTAACCTCCGTTACATCTCCAAGGGAACGTGTTCCTCGAAAGGGTTATGAAGACAAGGTACCAAGAACTGCAAAGGAGTTTGAAGCTTATTGGAAAGCCTCTCAGGAGTACTCTTTCTTGGTGAAGGAAATCGATGCTACTATCTCCCAGAATGAACAAACCAACCAATCTAGCGAATACTATGCTTCAAAACATGCTAGACAATCTAATCATATGAGAAAATCATCCCCATACACTGTGTCTTTCTTCATGCAGACAAGATATCTACTGACTCGTGAGTTTCAAAGAATTCGTAATGACATTGGATTTCACGCTTTCTCAGTCTTGTCCAATTCGCTTATGGCGTTGGTTTTATCTTCCATTTTCTACAATTTACCATCTAACACATCCTCTTTCTACTACAGAGGTGCTTCAATGTTCTTCGCTGTTTTGTTCAACGGTTTCCAATCTTTCTTGGAGATTATGTCTCTTTTCGAAGCCAGACCAATTGTGGAAAAGCACAAGGGTTATGGTCTATATCATCCTGCTGCTGATGCACTGGCCTCTGTCACTTCTCAGTTACCTTTCAAGCTGTTCACATCCTTGTTCTTCAATCTGATTTACTACTTTATGGTTAACTTTAGAAGAGAGCCAGGAAATTTCTTCTTTTATCTGTTTGTTAATATCTTGGCCACTTTGACAATGTCTCATTTCTTCAGATTGATTGGGTCCATGTCTTCCACCTTGCCACAAGCGTTGGTGCCAGCCCATGTCATCATGTTGGCGATGATCTTGTTTACAGGGTTCACCATTCCAATCAACTATATGCTTGGCTGGTGCAGATGGATTAACTACTTGGATCCTATGGCATATGCCTTTGAGTCATTAATGGTCAATGAGTTTTACAACAGAATCTTTGAGTGTTCGTCCTATATTCCGGGAAACCCAGCTGATAATCCATCTTGGCCTTCAGACTCTTGGGTTTGTAATGCTGTTGGTGCGTCCGCTGGTGAAACATATGTCAATGGTACTATCTATTTGAATGTTGCATTTGAATACACTCACGGACACAAGTGGAGAAACGTCGGTATCGTTATTGGTTTCATGGTTGCTTTACTTGCTGCCTACATGTTGTTTGCGGAGTTCAATGAGTCTGCAAAGCAAAAGGGTGAGATCTTGTTGTTCCAAAGTTCTACTTTGAAACAGCTTAAGAAGGACAAGGCCAAGAACGATCTTGAGGCTGGTAAAGAGCGTGATATCACTGAAGCTCCTGAGGAGGAGGACGTCAATGTTGATGCTATTCAAGCTGGTAAGGACATCTTCCACTGGAGAGATGTCCACTATACCGTGAAGATCAAGTCTGAATACCGTGAGATTTTATCTGGTGTCGATGGTTGGGTCAAGCCTGGTACTCTGACTGCCCTGATGGGTGCATCTGGTGCTGGTAAGACTACCTTGTTGGATGTCCTCGCTAGTCGTGTCACTATGGGTGTTGTCACCGGTAGTATGTTTGTCAATGGCCACTTGAGAGACTCTTCTTTCCAGAGATCTACTGGTTACGTCCAGCAACAAGATTTGCATTTGGAAACCGCTACTGTTCGTGAAGCACTGAGATTCTCTGCTTACTTGAGACAGCCATCATCTGTTCCTAAACAAGAGAAGGACGAGTACGTTGAAGAAGTCATCAAGATCTTGGATATGCAGAAGTATGCTGATGCCGTTGTCGGTGTTGCTGGTGAAGGTTTGAACGTTGAGCAGAGAAAGAGACTGTCCATTGGTGTTGAGCTTGCTGCTAAGCCAAAGCTTCTGCTGTTCTTCGATGAGCCAACATCTGGTTTGGACTCCCAAACTGCTTGGTCGATTTGTCAGTTGATGAGAAAGCTTGCCAATCATGGACAGGCCATCTTGTGTACCATTCACCAGCCTTCAGCCATCTTGATGCAAGAGTTTGACAGATTGTTGTTTTTGGCTAGAGGTGGTCGTACTATCTACTTCGGTGATTTGGGTAAGAACTGTCAAGCCTTGATCGACTACTTTGAAAGCCACGGCTCTCCAAAGTGTCCACCTGAAGCTAACCCAGCTGAATGGATGCTTCATGTCATTGGTGCTGCTCCTGGTTCTCATGCTAACCAAGACTACCATCAAGTTTGGTTGGAATCTGATGAGCGTAAGGAGGTGTTGAAAGAACTTGACTATATGGAAAAGGAGCTTGTGAAGTTACCTTATGACTCAACTGTTGGAAAGGAAGAGTTTGCCACATCCATTCCTTATCAGTTTGTTATTGTGTTGAAAAGAGTGTTGCAATTGTATTGGAGAACACCAAGTTTTGCTTGGGCTAAGCTGTTCTTGTCAATTTCGTCCTGTATATTCATTGGATTTGTCTTCTTTGATGCTGATTTAAGTATACAAGGTTTACAGAACCAGATGTTTGCACTTTTCATGTTCTTGACCATCTTCAACCCAATGATTCAGCAGCAGTTGCCTATGTTTGTTTCTCAAAGAGATTTGTACGAAGTGAGAGAACGTCCTTCTAAGACCTTTTCTTGGAAGGCCTTCATGGCTGCTCAGATTGTTGCTGATATCCCATGGAACGTTGTACTTGGTACCATTGCTTACTTTGTCTTCTACTATCCAGCAGGTTTCTACCATAATGCCGAACCAACAGACCAAGTGAACCAAAGAGGTGCCTATGCCTGGTTCTTTAGTTGTTTGTTCTTCGTTTATATGGGAACATTTGGTTCTCTGTGTGTTGCTCCATTGCAACTTGCAGACTCCGCTGGTAATGTTGCGATGTTGTGTTTCACCTTGTGTTTGACGTTCTGTGGTGTTCTTGTCGGGCCTGATGCTTTACCAGGTTTCTGGATCTTCATGTACAGAGTGTCACCATTCACTTATTATATCGATGGCTTCTTGTCCAACGCTTTGGGTAACGCCCAAGTTACATGTTCACAGGCTGAATTGAGAGTTTTGAACCCACCAGACAGCAATACGACTTGTTCAGAATATCTCAGTGACTACATTGAAGCTGCTGGAACAGGGTACTTGGTTGATGGCTCTGCAACCTCTGAGTGTGGTTTGTGTCCAATGTCCAGCACCAATGCCTTTTTGAGCAGCATCAGTTGTTCTTACAGCCGTAAATGGAGAAACCTTGGTATTTTCTGTGCCTACATTGTTATTAACATTGTCGGAGCTTTGTTGTTCTACTGGTTAGCAAGAGTTCCAAAGAAGAGAAATAGAGTGAAGGATGAAAAACCAGAGGCAACTACCTCTGTTGGTGAAGGCAAGGAAGTTGAAAGCAACATGGAGAAGGCTTCTTCTGATTGATTGCCTGTGAGTGAGAGCTTCGCCGTGTCTAATACGTACAAATTTGTAAATTATCGATACCAAATATACCTTGACTTTTTAATTCTAATCTTTGATATGTATGCAGTGATTCATAAACTGCATCTAGACCTCACATTTAACCGGCTATTGAACTCATGCAAACTGATTATGAACTGTGCTTAACTAACTACGCTTGACCGACTACTTGCCACCAAACTACTGCAAAGAAAGGCAGAACAATCTAATACTGTGACGTTTTGTTTGTCGTGAATTTGAATCACAGTATCAATTACTGCTCTTAGGAGTGATGCTTCTATTGATGTGACGGTATTTAGACTTGACTAAGTGGTTCTTCGAGGCGAAGGCAAACAGACTGTTTAAGTCCTTTTGCGAGGTGTTCTACCTCCACTTCCTGACATTTCTTTCTGCATCTCTTCCCCAGTCACTGGAATCAAAGTCAGGGCACTGCCTAACCCAGGCCTTCCTAATTGGGATGTCATGTATTCCAACGTCCACGTACTTTCAAGTTGTGATTTTCGACCTTTGGACTCGAGCTTCATATTTATTACTGGATTAACCGAAATGTAAGCTACTGTAGCACTTAACACTTGTTACGCCACTGTTATGATTTATTGGAACAACTTCCATCATGAACTGTAAAGATTCTGGTGTTTTCTACAATGGTTTCCACGGACTCTCTGAACCGTTGTATTTCCTGTCTAAGCTCTTACGAACTACCCTTGTTATCTTATTTTTTTCATACCATATTGATTGAGAATTATCTTGATATTACTCCATATTACGGGTAACGTTTAGCACGCACTTGAAGCGGAAGGGAACAGTGTCAATAACCGTTCAGTTGTTGACTGTGTAAGACATTGTGACATCATCATTTTTGGAATTTATGAGCTAAACCCTGAACAGCATAAAATACAATGCCTTGCGCAGGGCTGTTTTCTGCGAATCAGACCCTAGCACGCCACCCTGCGGTCCTGTGCAGCGAGCACTGGTATGCCTACTTCCCTCGTCATCATCGTAATCTGAGCTCACTAAATCCAACAACAGGACCCTCGATACTGTGTATTTCGTCTTCTGTCAACATTTTACTGCCATATGTTTTGACTCTCCGATTATGGCTTAGTACTACACTGTTTGAAAAGGTAAACAAACATCACAGCCCCCACGGATAACTGAAGCCACAAAAAACATACAGGCAAGTCACAAAAACAACAACCAGGCTGACGGAATCGTAACCAATAGTATGGCCGCTACTATCTTTAGAAATATGCCAACAGACTGTCTCTGAGTTACGAAGGATGACCTACAATCTTGCGTCTGATAGTTTGCTTGGAACTCGGACACTCGGAGCTCGTAAAGTACGTTGTTTCTTCACGCAGTGTCGTGTGTGTGTCTTTGCGTGTCATTACGTCGTTGTTCCATGTAAACAAACAACGGGGGAAGGCACAAGAACAGGGGCCAAAGGTCTTATTAAAAGGTGGAATACACTCGTTTACTCACTCCTTACTGATACTAAACCCTTATGCCCGCAGAAGTGATACACCCACCTCTCCTACTTGACGCTGATGTATTGTTCACTATGGGTGATACTCTAGACAGTACCGACCCTGCTGCAGAGAGACGTTCTGCCCATTACAAGGGGCTAGATGCCCAAGTTGAAGGTCAGATCCAGGAGTTGGCGAGAGCGTTGACTCCAATGTCTGACGTTGTCAGTGGCAGCAGCTCTGAGGAGTCAGATTCTGGTTCTGTTTTATCAAGAGCGCTCTCCACAGCGTCTACAATTGCACCTGGTGTCAACCCTATGGGGGACGACCTGGAGGAGCTGGACCCTCGTCTGAACCCGGATAATCCAGATTTCTCTTCACGGTACTGGATTAAGAACATTAGAGCGTTCATGGATAAAGATGAGGCACACTACCAGAACTATTCGTTTGGTATTGCCTA